AGAGGGCGCTTCTAAAAATGTCTCAACCTCAAAACTCATTTTCGATTAATTGCTGTCTTCACAATTTTAAATGAACAAGTTTTGGATTTTGAATTTAAAATATTTGTATTCTAGCTTGTTGTAGTTGGATCCCGGACGAGCCCCCAATTTCTGTTACGTTCGAAAATAACAGAAAGTAAAAACAGCAATTAAAATATGATAACAATATATTTATATTTTGAAAACTAAATAATATAACAATAATATAAAGGAGGTTTAATACTTAAGTGATGTCCAATCAAAGATACGGCTTATTCTTGATGTCGAAAAATGTCGTTGACGATCCTTGGGAATGTTCCAGATCACGAAATGTTTCAATAATCGTTCATAGTTCTCCAATGTTTGTAATAATCCAATAATGTTTGTTGTAATCCTATAATGTTCGTATCCAATAATGTTTGATGATAATCCACAAATGTTTGATGATAATCCACAAATGTTTATGATAATCCACGAATGTATATGATAATCCGTATATAGTGAGTGTTGTAATATATGTCCATATAAAGTCCTCAGGTTGTATGTTTGCACTGTTATAAATGTTCCCAAAGTAGGTGTCTGTAATTTTCTGCTAAGAAGATGTCCTTTTGATCAACTTTGAAATTCTGCTTTATTTAGTTCCTTTGAGATGTCCAGTTATGATTACTTAATTATCTGCTAATGAGAGTCACTGTGCTGTTCTTTTTATAATGTGAAAGAATTATCCAGAAATGAATCTTCTGGAACTACATCTTGATTGGACATCTTTAGTGACATGATTCAATCTGATTAAATGTTTACTAGTTTCCGAATATTCTAGAAGGTCAAGAGTTAATGAGTCATTCAGTTCAGTTTTGTTTACAAGATACAGTGTATAATGTCATTGTGACCTTGACCCAAGATCTCCAATAAAGAATAGCTCAACATATACAGCAAACATACATTACAAATTAAACTATAGGTGAATATAGTAGAATATAATATACATGTAGCTCACTACTGTAACAGAAGACACTCTAGTTTTGTTTTCCTACAAGTTTCAGGAAACAAGTTCAAACGCTGTAAGCAAATATTTTTTATACTTTTTAAGATAAAGTATCTATCTTTGACAAATAAAACCATTACTTGCTTTTGCATCCTGATATCTAGAATTTTGAATTAAATACTTTGAGATCAACATTTGGAAAAACGAAGAAAATGGTGTTGGGGGGGGGGGGGGGTAAAGGATGATTTTATAAGTGAGGAGTGTTTTCTAAATATTCAAGTGAAACACAAATCAACATTCTTAATACTGTTACGTCACATTATTCATTAGAAAAACAACAGAATAGTAGGCAATTTATGAGTATATCACGTGAATTTCTTCTCTGCTTTCTACTTGTTCATAATATTACTTAATGTAATAGTCACAACTATTGTCGCATAAGGTTTTAGAAATATTCTCCCTCATGTTTAATGCACAGTCGCTTGCATTCAACCTATTGACGATACAGTCCTCTGAAGCCATCTGGAAAACTTGTTTGAACGGGGCCATCTGGACCCGCATCTGGACTGCAGTCGAAAGTTGTTTCATTGTTCCACAAAGTGCACTTCATAATTGATCCTTCGTCCTAGTGAAAACAGCAAAATCAAGGATTGTCTCAACTGGATAGTATGTAACTTGGGGCACCTTTGCCATCTATTTTAATTGCCGATTATTTGTGATGGTTTCCTGCACAATATTAGCAATGTGATCGGCTGCATTATCCTGATGGAAAAATTTAGAGTTTAGCTGAATGGTTAAGTTTTAATCAACTTAGCATAGCATTATTTTTTGTTGATTTTCTGGCCCACTGGTAAAGCATTGACTAGCAGGATTTCAGAAATGTTCATGAAAACAATGAACATCAATTTCCCCTCAGAACATTTGTAATTTAAATAAGAACAAATAAAAATAGAGATCCTTCATTTGCACATATTGATAGATTTTCTGTAATGGTAAATTGTGTGACGTAAAAAGTGCCCCGCCTACCCAAAAGTCAAGTTACCATAGTAACCATTATTTTTGACCAATCAAATAAGAGATGCTGATATTTTTAGAATCAATCAGAAAGTATTTTTTATACATTGTGTGTAAATCTCATGAGAGAATATCAAAAATCTTTGAAATTAGAGCATTTTTCCGTGAACTTATTGAACGACCTGGTATTTAATAATTAGCTTACTGTTATCAATTGACTTCGTGTAGTCCCATATGCTGAAGTGTGTATAAAGGACAAAAATGTACAAATTATTTTGTCATAAATTTTGTTATCTTTTCAATAAATTAATTATGGTTTAAATATGATTAAATATGCTTTATTTACTATCTGTTTTTAGAAGAGGGGAACCGCAATATTTAGATATAAATCTAGCTTCAAGTAAGATGAAGCCTTTTATTTGTCGACATCGACACACCCCATCATTGTTGCTGATGATTTGTCAAGGTCATTTATTAAGATGTAAGTACATTGTCAGGCGCTATTCAAAAACTATATGATGAAAATCATGTTCATTGTTGGTATTTGTAAGTGTCAGATTTGTTCAAAAGAGGAGGTCGTTTAAGCCAATCTTGACATGTACAAGGGAGTCCTCAATGCATAAATGTGTTAATGTATGCGCACCATATAACTGCTTGATAAGCAAAAACACTTTGAGATAGTGTCAGATGTATGTACAGGGTGATTCAAAAATATGCACTCAGCCTAACCTAAAGCACCATTCCATAGCAGAATGTTACTTAATGGAGTAAGCATCAATCAAGATTGTGGGCTTTGTGGGCAAATTTTTGGAATCTGAAAAGCCATGCAAAGTAATAAGGTTTCAATTAAAAACAAGCTCAGATAAATGCTAAATTTTAAATTTTTAGAGGAATTGGCTTCGCTGATGATACCACTTCAAATGGATTATGATACTGACCCAAAACTAATATTAACAATTTATGAAACTAAGGCAATAAAGATTTATAATGAACTTTTTGTGCCATCCCCGGTTGAGTTAGTTTTATCTTTGCCACAAATGTAATTTGGGTTTGCATTAGCCAAAGTGAAACTATTTTAAATTTTTCAAATTTCGGAGATGTTTGAAAATTTCATTGTCGTTGTTTACAACTTGGACTTTTTCAGTTTGCACGACAAAATATTTGAAATCCAATTTTTACTTGGTTTAGTAGAGTAAAACGTTTATCAATATTAAACTCCAGTTAGCATCCAATCCTGCTATGAACCAGTGCAATGGTCACATTTCTCAAAGAAACCAGGAAGGTATATTTCATTAGAAAAATTTTCCTCGTTTCCTCATCGAGGGAATTGATTTATGAATATCCGGCCAGCTATTGCAGAACCGGTGTAAAAGGGTAGGAGGTCCTCTCAAATTATGATCCTACTCTCCATTGATTTATATGGTGACCTAAATACAACTTTTCCCCTTATTATCTTATACACAATCAGGGCCAATAAGGGCCGTTTAGAAAGGGGACCATAATTTCTTTCACACCGGAACTTACGAACTACATACTTGCCGAATATTTTGTTGCGATTTGAGGGGTGAAAGCACCCTATCTTCGTTTCCAGAGTTCCTCCCCAGTGCTATACCTGACTTGTACAAGTACAGGTTTGCGTATATGTATTCCAAATAACTTATATCGAAAGCTCTCTACAGACCGTTCTGACCCATTATATCCACTATCTTGATGATTACTGAGAAAACGTAAGTGCCTGTTATGTGGACATTGGTATATGTAAATTTCTTCAAAAAAGGTTCTGAATTCTTCTGAAGCACCATGTACATTCTGGTAACTCAAATGTCAGAGCGTTTTTGCTTTGAACAGTAAATTAAAGTACACAATGGGAGATTAAAAAATCTAAATTAACAATCTGAATAGCGAGAGAATCATTTAATAATTTGATTTTTAGAACATTTCCGTGGAATATGTACGAAGAGATATTATGTGCAGTTACTGATATGTTGTCATCGAACTTTTAAAAATGCTATTGTCGTAGTCTGGTGCCTGGCTTGTTAACTGTCTAGAATATAGTTCTTCAGTTTACATGAAATTATCCAGATTGAAGGAAAAGCACTGTACATGTGAAACTTGCTTTGATTTTTGGGTATGCTGGGTAATTTTCAAAGTCGCTGTTTTGAATTTTAAGTGCAATATTTGTTATCTTGTGACTTGTTTTAAATTTAAGAACAAGTAAGGTTATCTTAGAGGTCATTTAGAGGTACAACTGTATTCTCAGTATTAATTGCCATGGGGGTTTTCCTACTTCAAATAAAGGGTCCTGACAAATTATTTGTTTGTTTCTATTCCAAAACCAATTCACTGATCATACCTTACTTTCTTCCAAAGCAATTTTGTGTGCTGGTCCTGCCATTGTCCATTATTATTAGATATTAGAGGAACTTTTGTTCGTATAATGTGGTTTTGCACACTTAGTTTTGTTATCCATGGTTGCTATTAAGTTTTCAAAATTCGGGCCCAATTTTTGGGTTTTAGGAGCCCAATTTTTTTTACGCGGAAACTGTTTGGAAGAACAGACGTCCTACGATTTTGGAGCTTAAATTTCGCAGAATGATCAGTCGTTAAAAATCATGACTTGACTTTACAAATACTTATAAAATATAAATTCAGAATACATTTTTCAAAGTGTGCTCGTAATATATCCGAAAATGAAATAATGCATCCAAAATGAAACGTATGTAACATATGACAGTCTAGTCAGGCAGATCTACATTTGCCATGCAAAATGTGTGCAAAAGTACCCCGGTCCGCATATGTTTTAAAAATAAAAAAATGAAATATATAACTTTCTGTGGTTGCCTCTCCACAGCGCTGCCGCTTGTGTCATTAATAAACTTGACGCCAAATTAATATATGTAAAGGTAAAGAGGTACATGTAGCATCAATGGCATAGGTTATCAATAAGAACCTTTTTTATACGAAACACTATTTATCAAGACAAAGGTAACAAAGGTAACGTTAACATTTATCTCAAATTGCATATGTATATTTTACACAGTGTCGATCCTGAATATAGGTTGATTCTACATTGCTTACGTTCAACACTTCTTTCTAATTAGTGAAATCTTGATACATGTCACATGGTGATTTTATGGAATTTCTTATCACTCTCCACCACACGTAGATCGGAGTGGTTTACAACAAAGGAATAACTTAGACGGTTATCTGATGGAGAACATTAATAACCCAAAGAGTTAACGTAAGTCGACAATTGTTACTTTAGATATAAGGTTGTATATAACTATGAACGTATTTTCACTTCTTTTCAAAGCCCCAATACTGCATGCTGCTGCGTATCATTTTTACTTTCACATTTGAAATGAAATTGAACGTGTATTTTTTCTACTTAGTAAATGTAATCAAATTGATGATATTCCTCAAAAGTTTATTTTTAACGTTTTTTTAATAATCATTTATTTCATTTTTTTTTATTTTTCCAAGTCATTGATATTTATATTCATCGTTTAATTCTCTGAAAATCTTTGAATGACCGCTATGCAGTGTGACGAGTCTGTAGTATTTTTCATCTTTGCTAACTCAACAACTGCTCCTTGACCAAGGTAAATCGGGAAATTAACCATGGATTAATAATCAATTTTCAAAATGACAAAAGTTATGTAACTCACACATCTTAGCTTTTTATCTAGTTTATTTAAGATAAGAAATTAAATAACCTATATCACTATTACATAACGTACTTTTAGACTCATCCATAAAATTGGAAACAACTTTTACTTTTGTTTCAGATTCCTAAACTACATCATTAGAAAAACAGGTATGTATTGTTTTTTACAAATTTTTGTTTCGCTAAATATAATAGGATTTTATTAGTACTGATGCCCAAATGAAACCTCTGTGTAGATCTATAAGGGGCAACAAAAACTGATGATCTTTTGAAAAGTGTCACAATGTTTGCTTTCATCACAATGGTTCATGCAATGACTCTTATAAGTCTCACAGTTCATATCTCACAATAGGCCTATTACCTTGATTTTCTCAATCATTTTCCACTAATTCTGTAAATTTTGATATCCCATTTTCAGTTATACTTATTGATAGTTCAGATACTCGAGTATCTCAATTTATTGGCCCCAGGGAATAATTTTAGTATTGCAAGAGAAAAATAGATACTTTTTGAAGATGTTGTTTTGTATTGTATTTAAAGTTCATGTCATTCTTACATATACTTTTGACAGTTTGGGTCACGTGTACTCTACCTTTATCAGTCTTGAAATGACATTGAGAAGATCTATATTTTGTATCATGTTATTGGATATAACCTTCGTATAGAAGTATCTTATGGGTCGTCTTGCAATCGGAAAATATCTGTTCTCCGATTACTTATGAAATAATAGATTAGAGCCGAAATCTGGTTTAGTTTTGGTCATGTTGGGTAATTTACAACGTGGTCATTTTGAGTGTTTTTTCATCACTTGTTTAATACACAAGTTTACTAAAATTATAAATAAGGTTATCTTAGAGGTTGATTAAAGGTGCAACTGTAACCCAATCAGTATTGATTTAAAAGTTGGGGGTTTTCCTACTTTAAATAAAGGGCCTGACAAATTAAATGTTTGTTTCTCTTGGTCCCCTTGACCATTCCAAAACCACTTAACTGATCATACATCACTTGTCATTTTAGGATTTAATCTACGTAAAGTGTTTTTTATGTCACCACCAGAAGTGGGGACATATTGCCATAGTCTCAACGTTTTTTGAAAATTGTTCAGCGGTTGATGTTCGACGACGTTCTTCGGTCTGTCAAAACCGATGGTACTACTATTCGCTCATATGTTTTGTTGCTTTGAAAATTGTTTTAATTACGTACGGTCATTTTATGTTCATCCGTACCATCTATTTGTCTCGTAATAGCTGTTTTCACATTTACGTTATGGGTATAATTATTGTTCGCTGTCTTTTTTACAACGGGTCCTTACATTTGTTTATTCATAACTTTTGGAAAAAACTTGAAGGTTTTCTGTAATGCTATAACTTATGCTTTTACAGTCTACTATGTTAGCACATTTACCCTGGGTTCTTTTTCATTTTTTGTGCAAATTTTGGAGGTTGACGTTTTACAAATTGATACACTTTTGTAACATATGTAAGCAAGCATTGACAATTGTTTACAAAATTCTATAAAACAGATATACATGGTGGGCCAAGAAAACACCACATTTTTTAAAAAAGGCAATATTTAAAAAGGCGTTTTTGGACCATCCTGTATAATTTGATTAAGTTGAAGAAGAAAGGATGATGGTATTTAGTTTTCTGCCCTCTAAATGTAGCATGATATTTTTACTAATAAATATCTAATCAGTATTTATATATAGATTATAGATTGCTTTAGGAGAAAATAATTAATAAGTTCAAGAACCCATAAGTAAATGCCAAGGTAAAAATGGACCAATACCATGGCTTATCAATAAGAACTTTTCACGAGAAATGTTATAGGATTTATCAGATACAAATGTAACACTAACATTTATCTCAAAAGCGCATGTACATTTTATGTACTCTCTCGTCCAAAGAAATCTGTCCAAATAATTTTTGATAATGATTACCATTCAATTGCACAACTTCAGGGTTTGATGCCCAAAGATGTGTGTAGAATTTGGATAAAATATATGGAACATTGAAAAAACTAGAAATCGGTTTCCATAGTGACGCCACAAATCGCTACTTTTTGCTTATTAAATTGAATTATTTTCTCATCTCACTTAGTATATCAAACATTAATTAAACTTGCTAATCCAAAATATTGTTACAAGTATTAGGCATCATTTGCCAAAATGCCAAAATTGACAAATAATAGTCTTTCACACTTATTGTTCCAATCAGAGTCTTTTCAAGTAAACCACTGGGTATCAAATGAGGACGTCCACATCCTTTGCGTCTTAACAATCCATTACATTACTAGAATTGGTGCTTAACTAATATCCCTACTAATTATTTACATTTAGCTAGATCAGGGACTTCACGCTTAGACACTTTATTTATATCTCCATAATTTAATACCATATTTTATATTATATACAGTGTATATCTATATTTGAGCCTGGCCATAGGAAACCCGGTCTTATCACAAAAATTAAAATTGTGCTACAGAGCCAAAAATGTGTCCACGATTAAGAGGAAAATGTGCTAAATTCAGATCCGACTTTTTGGTCTATATATTCAAGAAAAAATTGTTAGGACATAAGTCATGGCTCAATTGAAAGGTTTCTGGGTGCTTTTTAAGATAAACAAAAAATAAGAATATTGAAAATATCTGTGATAAGACCCCTTTTCCTGTGGCCTGGCTCATTTTATTATTACTCAAAATGGTATAAGACATTACTGCATTACACTATCTGTATAAGATCACTCAACCCACATATCTACAGAATTAGCCATAAAGTAAAAAGAATTGGAGGTTAAAATGTTGCAAGTTGTGGTTGGAAGTTGCCAGCTACAGTTAAATAGTACAGCTATTGTTATGGAAGCTCTGCTGGTGCATTTTTGGAAATATTAGAAGACCGGGTTTTGATAACTTAATCTATTTTTGCAAAAACGAGGAAAATTTCCAAAAAGTCGCAGCAGTGAATTTGTGCGGCCACTATGATTACTTATCTCTTATTTTTTCAATATTCCATAATATTTTATCCAAATTTTACACACATCTTTGGTCGTATAGAAAGTATTAAATTGTATGGCTTCCATTATCAAAATATGAGTATTTCATGACGACACACATATTTTTTGACATGAGAATACTGTTCTGAATAATCGTTGATTTAGAATATTATTCAGTAGAATAGTGCGTTTCTATGTGGTCAAAAGCAAAAAATATTGTATACTACCTGACCTGAACGCTCAATGGCCTTGATTTTTTCCAGTCCATAGAATCTTATTTCACTGCAACGTCATATGATCAGTCAATTGTATATATTTGCTACCAGTAATAACAGGCATTTAAAGGTAAATGCTCTTAAACGCATACGAAAATGTCGATATGTCATTATTGTGTCTTTTCACAGAATACATATGGGAATAAGATAAATAGTTGCTTACAAGACGTCAGCATAGTGCAAAAAATCATGGAAATATTTTTTCACTATTTCAATGGCAGAAACTATTTTTATACCATCGGCTAACCAATCAAAATCAGATAATTTGGTTGAATCATTAATTTTCAAAATGACAAAAAAACATCATGTAACTCACACATTGTAGCTTTTTATCTGACTCATTTAAGATAAGAGAATGAAGTGTGTATTGCGTAGTTTATAGATTGTTTTGAATAACAACAAAATAAACATATTTTAATTGTTTCAGATTCGCAAAAACTACCACTAGAAATCAGGTATGTTTTATGACAAAATAATCCCTTTTGGGGCATCTAAAACTAGAAAAAATATCGCAAGTTATTCTTTGCTTACATTTCATGTCATGGTACCTCTATATTCAATCATTTCTTCTCAATGCTTCGTTTTTGGATTATTTTCAATACACCTGAAAATGTGGAGCTTTTTTCAGCTTTAATATCAATCATTTCTGCATTTTAATTAGTTTGAATTAATTGTAATTACTATGACGACATTGGGGTGTCTCAATAATGATTAATATATTACTTCTGTAAAGGAAATATTGGGTTGGTTTTTGAAGAGATTTACAAACTATTTCTGTTTTGTTGTCACTTTAAAGTTCATGCTCTTACATACATTTTTGACAGTTTGGGTAATGTTTACCGCACTTTTATCAGTCGTGAAATGACATTAAGAAGATCTATTCTGTATCATATCATTGGATCTAACCTTTGCATAGAACAATCGTGTTAGACGATTCCCAAATGTGTCATATCCCTAAAATGACACATTTTGTAAAATGGTTATTTTTATGTATATATTGGCTTTGACCGATCATGAGTTTTTTCTTGTTAAATGTCCTTGAATTTCAATCAGTTCATTTCCTGAGTTATGTCATGAAATTCTATTCCTTGGTTCATACCAATGAGGTCATCGACATTGTCACGCAGAATCAAAATGAATGGCAACAAACAGAGCGATTCATGTTTTCGTACAGTACTGATTTTTCCGTTTGAAATAGATACCATATCCAGGCCAGATAGGGCACATTTAAAAGATAACTCTCTAGTTTAAAAACTGTAAGCTGCAAACTAGACTGTCAACGACTCTTCATTTCATGTATGAGACTCTCTTTAAGATATGATTCAGTTAATAAATCTTTTTGGGTATTGCAGAGAAACAGTTGAAGGCTGAATCAAAAGAACGCGAATCACAGTGAAGTCTACAAGCCCAACCCCAAGATAAAGAATAGTTTTCAATTTAAAATCACCAGTACATTCAGATAAAATAAAAGAAAGCCATTCATCGACAGAGGACGAATTAGACCTCGAAACTGAAATCTTCAAGGCAGCTATATATACAGTATATCACAAGGGACACAAGATGTCAAATAGGCGGAATACTCCAACTGAAGACTATTACAATGACAAATACATAAACAGAGGGTACAATCACGACATACCTCCGGATTATGACAACGTTAAAACTCCAAACATCCCATCTAAACTCCCTCCAATTGAACCAGTACCAGATGACGATAACATTTCAAACTTTAGTGCGAAGGAAAAGTTTATCTGCAGCTTCGGGAATACGTTGAGAGAGCTTTGGGCATTTAGGAACACTCTGATTATCATTCTGACGCCTCTCTTACTGCTTCCTATACCGCTAGTCATAAACACAGAGGTGAGTAGTATGATTTATCCCATACTTGGACGTGTTACAGGTACATAAAGCCGGTTTGTAAAAACTTATATTTTCATCAGCGGGCAGATATAGCTTTACGTCCCGCTCCGATATATATTATATTTGCCTCGGGATAATCCCAATATCATGAACCTCATATAGGATAATCTCTATATATTCCATGATACAACTACTTTCAGGTGAATAAATCGTGAAATATATTTGACACTGAAAAAAGTTTTTTTATTTATTAATTCATTGAATTTCTAAATTGCTCGTTATTTGTATTATGGGCTATTACTAGTCAATTTTGTGATTTAATTTGCGACTGCCATCAATTAAAGAGAAAATCAGTTTATTTTAACATTATGGCTATAAGGATTTAGGCAAATCTTTTTTTCAGAAAATATAGAAATCATTGGAAATTGAAAACCAAAAATTAAATGTAAAGATTTTGCATACAAGTTAAAAAATAAAAAAATCATCAAATGAAATGATATTTGAGTCAGGATGGTTAAATTTGCTCCCAAAATTCTAAGAGTGGACGTTTAAACTACGTATATAGCAAAGTTAAATTCTAGGGATAACAATTAAACAAGAGATTGGTATGCAAAATGTCACCATATGCCCTACAGATGCCGAACGCCAAACACAAACCGCCGAACACCAACCCCTAACACCGTCCACAAAAAGTTAAAGACTATAACAATATATCACTTCTTGCAATACTCATTGTTTTGATTCGACAATGATTCATGCGAGTGTGGACACCTTGTGTGCTTGTGTAACAGAATGATAAAAATCAACAAATTCAGATATCACGAGATTAAAATGACTGAGTCAAGAATCTAAAGTCAAGGGCGGTTCTTAACTGCGTACATCTTGAATTTATCTTTGGATGACCATATTATCTTTGATTTTGGTTTCAAACATTTGGGCTTTTTAAAGAAGTGGTGATGAAGTAGTAATAAGTATCACTCACTTATACAAACAAAACAAAAGAGATACGCAGCCCATAAGGGAACGCCTCAAAAGCTCAGTGTAGGACTATTTATCCTATGCCAAGTAGAGTTTTAGGGAGATACGTTGGTAAGATATATCCCGTATCCTGATTTTGAGGTTTCCATATCCAGAACCTCCATATCTCCCGCCATATCTTCCGCTTCGGTGCATATCTTCCCGCTTCGGTGCATATCTTCCCGCTTCCGGTAAGTAGTGGAAATGCAATAAAATGACTTTGCATATGAATGATTTGTTTATTTTAACACCTTGTACTATTGAAATGGCCATATGCCCCTGAAAACTCTACTTGGTATAGGATAAAGCAGTTATGAACGGTCGGTTTGGATATTGGGTTCATCACTCGTGAGATATGCACATCTACATTTGTTCCCTACGGTCCCTCAGGTAGATATGCATATCTCCCTCTGGATAAACCCCATATCCAAAACCTCCCAGTACATAACCCTTATTTATCATTTGCATAGTGAAGGTTTAATATTCCCCCGATAATTATATTAACAAAACATCAATATGTCTTGGTTTCCTTGGTTAGTATAGCATTACCAAAAAAGGAACCTGCAAATGTTTTTGATAAAACTGTTTGGATTCTGCAAATCGAAATGCCTGTGAATGAATAAATCGATGTCTTATAAGGGCCCCATTCACTGCTCTAACTAAGAAGACTCAACATTTTGATCCTCACACCGGAATAGCCTGACAACAGTAAAGTCAGATACCGTTGTCACAAATGGCGGACATAGCCGTCGCTTCAACTGTTTAATCACTTGGTCACTTTCTAGTAGATACCCAATTGTGTATGTGAGCTTGTGATTGACCACGAATGTATCGTACAATATTGTACTTTAATTCAAAAGATGGAAGAAAAGCAAATGAATATATTTCTAGTTGAAAGCCCATGCATAAACAAATGATATTTCTCAATGTGACCTAATAGAATCAATCACATCTGTACATTGATTAAGATGGGCGAAGTATTGTATTTGTATTTGTACACGTACCTAATTAATAAGATTATTAACCAGGGCAATGGGTTTTAAAGAGATATTAGGATAAAATGTAACCAAATTGGCATTTTTATAAAGACAGTTATTTCGAATTTTCAACCGATAGTTTATCACTTTTCACAACTTGATGAAGTTATCTAAGCAACTCTTGAAAAAATAAAATATCCCCAAATTAAAATAACTGAACATTTTACATACGACTTTACAGTCCATATTTAATCTCTCCTGAAGCCATTGTACAAATGATCTTGTGTTGACTTATTAGGCCATATTTATTCTTGTACTCAATATGTACTTATTAAATGGTAATTAATTACGATAATAATTTCATATGTAACCATGTAGACAAGTCGTAGTATCATGTTTTGAGATATGAGATATTTGGTATTTGGACCACATTACTTAGATGTTAATTTTGACAAATTACAAAACAATAGTGTGGGATACATTACGAAAACTATCGTTACCCTTTTCAATATGGCGGATAAAGTACAATTACTATTCACCCTCCGATGCATTACGATTTTCGAATTTTATGCATAAGTGCATCACTTTGAACTGAGATTAGTTTGGACATTTGAAGTGGAAATATGATCAAATATGAAATTGCGTGCAGTAAATTTGTTGAAGTTATTATTGCTGTACACTGTGCAGGGAGCTCAGATATTGATATTCCCGACTAGTTTGTTATAAAGAGATAATATGTTAATCTGCTTTTTATCATGTACATTTATACACCAAACTATGATTATAATGAAAATGATGATAATAATGGGCTCTATATTAATTGTTTATTTTAGAAAAATACTCTGAATATTGTTTGTTTACTTGTCTACAACAGAACAACAACATCGTAGTCATTTCGAAAAGTTGAGAAAAAGTCCTGATGACATTGTTCAGTTTCTGTCATCATCTCTACATTTTTTGACGAAACACGTTGGATTGGTTGGATGATGTAGCTATGTTATATACCGGGGTCAAGATCAAGGTTCAGCATAGAAATGTAAAAAAGACTTTCGAACCATTGATTTCATTGTGTAGCAACTTTATACAAATTCCATAGATTAATGGATGAATAAATTAATGGATACATTTCAGGCCCGTAGCAAGCTTTTACCAAAGAGGGAATCACTTCCAGGGGGTTCATTTTGACGTTTGTCTAAATTACAAAATACTCAGAATCATGAAAAACTGCATGCTTTTTGAAATAATTTTTGTAGGGAGTTACGGGCCTGCATTTTTTCTATAACAAAATACCCTAGCTACTAGTATAGGAACATTATGATTGTATTTTATTAAGATGTATTCTTGCAAAAACGTCTACAAATATATATTTATCAATCAAGCTTGATAGTAAGATGCCATTCATGTTCGTATGTCGTAAAATACGTATAGTATAATAAATAATTTTAGTAATCTTACTAAAGTAAATATAGGATTGTTTTTATCTATTAGTTTAAACGACGTGTGAACTTGAACTTTTTAGAGATTCTTAAAATATCAAAAGACAGGGACCAGTTCAAATAATAATGCTAAAAATATTCAAATAATCCTTTTAATCATTAGTATAAAAGAGGATTTAATGGAAACACGTTCACATTTCTGTACTATTGATAAAGTATAACATCCTCTGATTTATTGAATTTAATGCATTAAAAAATTCCAACAAACGTTTAAAACGTAATTGATAATAGAGTATCACAGGGGTAAACGACGGGGGGAAACGCCAACGAACAAAAATAATCATTCGTCACTCCTTATACCGTTTCCTGTTGCCATGATAACATTCAACACCAATCAAGACCGAATGTAACCCTTTTCTGATTGTACGAGCATATACATAATTAATTAATTCGAACATTTTTCAAGATGAAAATATATTTAAATAAAAAAGTTATTTCAAATTTAGCATACGCCAGTGTGTCAAACGCATGTTTTGTTTTATTTTCACAAAATGGTTGTCCCTTTGGTCACATGTCTTATGATGATCTAGGGTGAACGTCCAGAATAAGGTGTTTACGACAATGCGATACTACTAATGACATGTGTGATTGGATGTATATATAAACAAAGACACTACTGTAATAAACTTTATTATATTATAAAGGGAATATTATGGTAATAATTTGGTAATAAAATGGTATAACAATGATGGTATTATCATGACATATATTATGATATGTAACTAAGAATAATGGGGAAAACGCATTTTCCTTTTTATATGATGAATCTGAAAAAATACTCGAATCAATTGGGAATATCTATTATAAGAGTTCTTTACACTCTTTACAAATCAAAGTCTTCCAAAGAATTTTCTGAATTGCGCAAGGTGTGATTTGATTAACTGATCTATATTGTATTACAGCCAGCAAGGGCCGCCTATCTTTTACTATGGATGGCTATCTGGTGGATCACAGAATGTGTACCGATAGCTGTGACAAGTCTATTACCTGTAATCATCTTGCCATTCATGGGGCTCATGACGCCTGGCCAGATTAGCATCAACTATATGAGAGTAAGGATCATATTATCTCATTTCACGATCTTCTAGTTATGCTATAAATGATTCCGCCGAATTGGGTTTCATGAAAATATGCCGATTGATTACAATGACACCAATGTACTTTTTAGGATGCAGCCATGTTGTTTATTGGTGGACTGGTGGTAGCTATAGGAATAGAAAAATGGAATCTCCACAAACGAATTGCCTTTAGGATATTATTGATAGTAGGATCTAAACCAGTTTGGTGAGTTGGCGATTGCTTTTAATATTATAATTAAATTATCTAAATATCATGAATATTCGACAAAAAAGGAGTACTATCAAAACCATACCTCCAACTGTTGGTATAAACACTATTTCATAAATCCTAAGTATGATCTTTTTTATCTCTTAATGCTTTTATTCAGTTCACCATTTCCATAAACAATTAAACACTTTTCTTGTTCTAGGTTAATGATGGGTTTCATGTTGGTGACCTGGTTCTTGAGTATGTGGATTAGTAACACTGCAACCACAGCTATGATGCTGCCTGTTGTGTCTGCAGTCCTCGACCAACTTGACCCTGCCAAAGTGAACTTGGAGAAAGAGGAAGGAGAGGACGCTGATTCTCGGGGTAAACATAAAAATAGTTTAACAAGGTGTTTACATACAAAATGTATTGCCATTTGTTACAAACGTCGAACACTGTCCACTAAAATTTGACACTTTATGTCAGCCTCTTCTGAAGGTGACAAAGAAACAATTACTAATTCACGGGTTTGTTTATTCATTTTTATTCATTCTGAGAGGTATACTTGTAAAGAATAATTATTCACTTTCCATACAGGTATGGCTCTCTGATCTGTTAACAAAATTCAAATTATTCTGTTAAACTTTAAAAACATTAAACGCACATTGGATAACTGATCTTGTATTATGATACGAATATTGCCTTTTTAGAAAAGCATCATGCAAATGGTGTCCCTGGGACTGAGTTGAGGTAATTATTCTAAATATGTCAGTATTAGACAGTATTAGATTTTCTTATATGAAAAGATTAAAATACGTTCTTAATACTTGAAAAAAGCAAACGGAAAAACTGAAAATATATAACGCACAACTGGCCCTTTGCGTCATCTTATCCCAACGGCAGAAAATGCGAGATGATTGAAACTTGAAGTCGTTTCATTTCTGAATAGTTGTTAAACCCAACCTTAATTCCAGGCAGATATCATCATCAACCACACATAGCGAGTCTGTCTTGGTCCACGACGATACTGAAACAGAAAAGGCAAAAGCCATTGAGGTAATTTAGAAATAGATTGAGGTTACACATTTACACATTGTGATATCTTTTTGGAGTTTACTTCCCATATATTATTAGCAACGTGTGTATAGTAAGTCATATTTTGCTGACAGGTTTTGCAAACAATATGAATCAATCAATTTTTCCATTGAATAACAGTTTAATAAGTGTCATGGCCTGGTCTATTTTGTATTATTTACAACTTTTGAAATCCTATTCTAATACGTCTATATTGTCATCGATCAACTTATTATTATCGTTGAGAAGTACATGCTTAAAATTTATTGTATAAAATATTATTATTCTTTATATATATTTTTTGTTTTTTTCAATTTAAATTGTTAAATTAACATGGCACCCGAGCGGTGTACATTACCCACATAGTAAAATAGAAATAAAACGGGCACACGGATATTTGTCCTCTAATATATGCGTACATTTTCTTGTGTATTTACCGAATTTCAGTGGAAGGAAAAATACAATCACTTGTGCAAGGGCATGAACCTGTGTATATGTTATGCAGCAAATATAGGTGGCACTGCAACTCTCACCGGGACAACGCCCAACCTAATCATGCAGGGATTCATAAACAGGTGCTTAAAATATGATTTGGTTGAATTCATGACGTTCACAATGATATCTTTATTGTTCTGAAAACCAATGATTCTATCCATTCATTATTCTTACCAATTTGTTCAAACGGGCAATAAAAATATAATGATATGATAAAAATTGTACATTGGGATGAAAAATCCGTGATATTTGCAAATTTTTTAATTTTTCAAAAGTGGAAATTTAGGAATTAATTTGGCCTGCATTTATATGTATCTTCTCCGCTCAGTATGTATGAAAAACGTGGGTTGAAGTCTCCATTAAGTTTTGCGACATGGATGGGTTTTGGATTACCTGGGGCTGCTATTAGCGTCATTCTATGCTGGTTGTGGCTACAGTTCTACTTCTTCGGCTTTAAAGGGTAGGTTACACATTTCCAAAGCTCTATTTTAGAAAGCCAACGAGATTTTATAGAAGAATGGTTTTTAAAAGTGAGTGATAATAGTGAATTCAACCATGGTAACTTTCTACTTAAAACATCCATATGTGAAAATGTGTCTTATTGTATTTCTGTTAACGCTTGTTTTAAGAAATATTCAATACATTGCACATGCTTTACTCATGATTATGGTGTATTTGAATTTCAGGTCCATATTTGGCCTTTGCTTCGCTAAGAAGACCGCAGGTCGGGACAGAGAAGGGGATGCAGTAAAAAGGGTTCTTCGAAAGGAATATGAAAAACTAGGCCCTTGGACGTAAGATTTTCCTTTAAGAATTGTATTGGATATTTTAAAAACTTGAAACACAAATTACTAAAATTATGCGCATCAATAATTAGCACCCTATTTTATTTTTGAGTCATATGGATCATCAAGTATTTGATTCCATTTAATCAATTGTTGTGTCACTTTTTATTTTAATTCTAATTATTTCAATTCTTTAAGGTTTGCTGAGGTGATGATTCTGATACACTTTGTCGGACTTGCAACATTGTGGCTGACGAGAGACCCACAATTCGTCCCTGGATGGGCTTCACTTTTCAGAGATGGGTAGGTTGGGTATTTCCAGTCTGTTTACATTATGCAGTAACATAAACCATTGATTGTTAATTTAACTGACTAGTGTAGGTGATATTTGTTCAAAGAAATTTTTTTCATTTCAAGGGAGTGCGTCTTCATCTGAAAACAGCCTCTAACATCGTTCAAAACTTGCTATTGAAGCCTAGCTTGTCCACCTCTTTTGCCAGAACCCATAATTCATAAAGGGGGTGTGGTTGCACCTTATGCAGCCCCCGGGACACCTATGTTGTCTATGACTACATCTTTTTGTAATACTAGTTTATTTTGCAGATATATTAAAGATTCAACACCAGCTGTCTTGGTGACAATATTACTGTTTATCGTACCGGCCAAAAAACCAACATTCTTCTGTCTTCGCAAACATGGTGGTGAGTCCATATAATCTTTATTCTATGAAGATGTTATATGCTTAAAGTTAGAAGTTAATATTCTAAAATAAAGTCATAAGCCTTTATCACGTTTAAATTTGCCATACGTGAAACAATGAATTCCTGTCCTCTGTTGTATTAATGGAATGTGAAATTACTGTGCTCGATGCTTAGCTCTTTTATGTATCCTTAATAGGATTGCCCAGAAGCATCGTGCTTATCTAGAGGCTCTTTTTTAGATTATATTTACTATTTACCCATTGTATTGGCTGTGGCAACAGAGCATAGATTGCCAGTAATATGGTATTCTAACATGCTTTCATCTATTTATCCACGTTTGGTTTAAAATTGACAGAACGTAGAGGGCCAGTGACTGCATTGATGGATTGGGAAACCGTGCATGAAAAGTTTCCTTGGGGAGTGCTACTTTTACTAGGAGGCGGCTTTGCACTGGCAGAAGCTGCCCAGGTATTTTATAGTCTCAATTCGGGAAAATGGTTGTTCCACGCTTCATAGCCATAGTATTCCTCACGCCTTTCCATTTGGATCCTATCACGATGCACCAGTGTAATTGCATCTTCCATATATATGCTGCAACCTTGTCCATCAGCAAAATCCCCTTAAGTTATGATTGGCAATACCTCAAATGTAGTTCTATTTCTTTACAAACTCACTACCAATGTTGTTTCTTCCTCAAATGAACTGGCTCTTCCCTCTCCTTATTGCTGTTTTCATTTAGATTCTCTTTTTTGAATCTGCCTCTAGAGCACCTTGTCTATAATACCTTTATTCATCAATATTCTTCTACTGTATATCTAGCATTGGTTACTTGAGCTTTTACCCCCCCCCCCCATGTTAGTATAGTGCAAATAAAAAGGAAAGTAATTAGGATGATACGGACATTTTTGTCTATCGATCAAAACCATATGAGTAATGTGATTTAAACTGTGATTCAGTCAGATGACCCATGTTGTAGGGATCCAAATTGCATAATACTTTCTATCACTAGCTTAACTTTTTTTGTAAATGGAGACCTGAAGGCTACGATATTTTGCAATGATGCTGAAATAGGACAGCAACAGCCTGCCTTGCCCAGTAATTACCAGGGGGTCATTAACAGAAACTTCATAAAGTTACGAATTCGTAAATCAATTGTTGTTACCATGGATATAATGACGTCACAGTTAGAGAACAATGGACTTTACGAATTCTTAACTTTATGAAGTTTCTGTTAATGGCCCCCAGGTTATTACGAAATGATTTTGATGGCTCAGTATAAATTTGTAGCAGAGGTTGCACCTCGTTTGACCTAAATTTGACGATATTTTTTATATACCTCTTTGACAAACCTCTTTTCTCGTTTTAGGTATCGAAGTTGTCAGCCTGGATCAGTGAGCAGCTAACAGGGTTAAAGCATCTACCTCCCTGGGCCATGGTGATGATTATCTGCTTCGCCGTTGCTATGATCACACAGGTCACTAGCAACACAGCAATAACCACACTCATGATGCCCATATTGAGTGGCCTGGTATGTATATTTTAGGCGTAGGTATATGCCCATATTAAGTGGTCTGGTATGTATATTTCAGGCGTAGGTATATGCCCATATTGAGTGGTCTGGTATGTATATTTATAATATTTTAGGCGTAGGTATATATTGTCGTAATACAAGCTTTGTTAAATAGCTTTGAAATCTCGTTGAAGTCTTGTTTTAATGTCATTGAAGAAGATCTGCACATACTTATATTTAACCAATTAAAACGAGCACTTCCTTCACTTTTGTGACATGTTTGAATTCGTTGTATGTTTACCAATTAAACAAACTTTTATTTGCACATTTATTTTCCTGGTCTCACGTTTTTTTCTGTTCTGGAAAAGGTCGGACAAGATCCCCATTCTTACTATGTTGAAAAAATGAAAGTTAATTCTCTCTTTTAAGGATCACATTTTTGAATCATTATTTTTAAATCATATAATAGGCATATCAACAAAGACCATTAAGTCGCATGCCAATGGAGTTTACAGTAATCAAAGTTGACATATTTGATAATTAAAGATATGGGACTTTTGTAAATGTCTCCATATTATAAATAGAATTCTGGCTCAGCCAACACCTCTACTACCATATACAGGGTGGTCCAAAAATTGAACCACTGCTACAAACTACAAGGCGTCAAATAAGTTCTTCCCACTTAACTTTTTTATTTTTAAAATTATCATACTTTCCCATATATCATTCTAAAGCTAATGAAAATGCTGATCACTCCTAGAAAATCAATAATGAACTCTTCCTAATAAAATTGCTACAATGTTTCTTGAGAGGATGTAGCTTACCGTTGATTGCCTTAAAAAGAGAAAAATTACCAGGATAATGAATGAACAGTGAAAAATTGATACTGCGATTATTAAGGACAGGGTCGCAAAATTAATCGAAGATCAACCAGGATAAATTTTATAGCCATGAAACATTGCTCAAATGTATCAAGAAAGCTTTAAGAAGCCTTGAAAGCGCAACACCCCTGTTTGTGAACATTTTGGAATCATATCCTTGTAGAATTGAGGCAGTCCAAGCTGCTTTGAGGAATTATACGAACTGTTAAAAATGTGAAATATGAACATCACTAAAAATGCTCTTAAAACTTTGGAATTTAACCAATCTCTCTGTGTGATCAGCAAATTAAATTCCCTTTAAAATGATATATAAAAACTCTATGTTATTCCTAATTTTAAAAAGTTAAGGGGAAAGAACATACTTATTTGACGCCCTGTATATTTCCCTTTTTACCTGCAGGAATCCTTTCATATTCTCACACGTTGTGAAAGAAGGTCTAACGTTTTTTTGGTACCATACATTTACCTTAACCCTAACCGAATATTACTGAAAATGGATAAAATGTGAATTTCAACATCTGCGATCCTTCAATCTTTCAATACCCTTCCCCTGACAATTTATGTAAATTATAGTGTAAAAATTAGTGCCCTACCTCCGTTAGATGCAAAGTTATTTTGATCCACCAAAGAAATGTTCTGCGTTTCCATAGAAGAAAATATCCAGTGAAATCTTAGCATACCCATATATGGTCTTAAAATGTCAATATCTTCATTGATCATGGACCAATTCTCATGATACATGATATATGGCTCAAAATATTGAATGTAAAGTTTTCTTTTGAATCTTGTAAGATATGTACATGAAGGGCTTCTCAGATTCCCGGTCACATGAGGTAGCCTTGCCCCTCTCTAACCATTTGTGTAGGTAACACCCACCCCCACTGAACGATTAAAACTGCTTCAAAACGGTCAATGAAAGTGTAAAATATGTGAAAATAGTGTCTCCATTATGTAAGGGTTTTAAACATACATATATCACCGAAAGCTTTTTTCAAGATCAGCCGGTGTGTTTCAACAATTTTCGTGAATCACTTGGTAGAATTTTGCACAATATCTAATTTTCAGGCATGTTTGTAAAGTCTTGTAATTTCTTCAAAACTCAAGACTGAGAATAAATGATGGCATCAACAAAAACTTAGACCTCTCTCCACAAGATGTTATAATTTAAGCCAATTCATGCATGTATGAAGGGAAATTTAACCCGTTGCAGCGGTTCACTTTTTGGACCACCCTTAACAATATTTTGGGATATTTATATACAGTTTGATAAAACCAAAACATTTGTAACCACTAGATTACAAGATTTTTAAAATATGGAGACCTCAACAAACCAATATCAAACACCGGTAGAGAATCTATTGTTTAGTGCGATGTATAAACTACTACATAAACACATTATACAAATATAGATCCGCCATATATTCATAGCTGATCTAACGTTTTTACACATCATATTCTAACGTTTTCCTCCTCTTTCAGTCTCTAAGTGTTGGAGTACATCCAATGTATCTAATGTTGAGTGCTACCATAGCAGCAAGCTGTGCCTTCATGTTGCCAGTAGCAACGCCTCCGAATGCAATTGTGTTTGCATATGGTCACGTCACAGTAGTTGATATGGTGAGTGGATTTTTGAATCCTCCAAAACTATAGAGTATCGAGGTAACCAGAATTACCAGATATTATGTAATTTTGTTGTAAAGATCTTTGTTCATTGTAGTCACCAATTAAAAACACTTCACTCTCTGGACTGTAAAGTGATTTACAACTTACTCTAACTTTTTCACTATTATATTTTTCAGGTGAAAGCAGGGTTTATGATGAACTGTGTATGTGTCCTTGTGATCACACTTGGCATCAATACTTGGGGAAATGCCATGTTTAATCTTAGTGTAATGCCATGGAACGCTTCAACTCCTGTTGCAAATGCCACAATGCTATATGCTCCTGTAAGCCCAATAGTTGATAACCAACTTTGGAACCAATATATTGAACAGTATTAGATATTGAACAGATTTCATATGTAAATATACCAACTACGGGTGGGTGCCATGATAAATAGAACAGCCTTAAAGAATAACTGACCGTTGCTTTACTCACTGTCAATTGTCAATGACTATGGATATTTAATTTTCAAATCTACCTTCACCATGAATAAGATTACTTATGAATAAGATTACCTCGTAGCTTCTTTGGCCGCAAGCTATTTTGGAATGATATCTTATCGTCGAGTTTGCCATTGGTTCTGTTCATAGAAACTTCATATGGTAAGATGTCAAATAGAAATCCATATGAGAAAATTGCAGAGATGTAGAGAAAATGGTCAAGATTGAATGTACTATATTGTGATAATGAAATGCACAATTTAAAGATATTTTAAACGAACTCTTAAAGCGACTCTATGCGTAATCTTCAGCGTTCTTAGACAAAATAAAGACTTACTTTTGATCTTCATAGCATAACCCATGGATTAATAGGTACTGGACAGCTTGAACTAGCCACATCGGAGCTTACAATAAAAATTGTCATTCCTGCTATTCCCGCTTTTATAAAATACGCAAAGTGTCTCTTTAATGAGCTCTTACTTTGATTGTTCAATGGGATATTATCCGTTGTGTTATCCAAATGATATTTTGTTAAAAAATAAGAATCTATTATCTTTCGCTGTGTTATCGAATAAATAAGATCAGATATTTTAGTATTGTGTATGTAGTGTATAGATAACTAACTGTCTCATCCATTTGGTTTGATAAAGATATGTACTCCGGGATCAATGTCACAGAACACAGCAGCAAGAAAATAAAAACATCTAAGAGTACACTTGTCATAAGGTTACGTTCACACCAACGGCGCTTTGATGGCGCTTTAAAGCAGCGTGCAAAGCTGCTTTGCACGTCGCATTAAAGCGCCATCAAAGCGCCGTTGGTGTGAACTTAGCTTTAAAGGGAACTAGTGGTATGATTAGTAATTGGAAAATATATTTTGTATATCCTGTATTATAAACTATTGTGTTTTAATGATATATTCAATTATATGTCAACTGTTATCTGTATAAAAGCGACTGATATATTGTGCGAATGTTAGAACAAGCATGTGAATATTTTCAAAGTGTACAGTGTAAGGTTTAAAGCAAGTTCTTGTTGTAAGCGTAATACAAAAGAACTCTTTTGAATGTGTACCATAGAAGCATTAATGTATATTTTGTAAATTATGTGGTGGTTGGTACAGCTAATTAAGTTCACACCAACGGCGCTTTGACAGCGCTTTAAAGCGGCGTGCAAAGCCTAGCTTTAGTCTACAGATCTAGTTGCGTTAACCTAAAGCCGCTTTGCACGCCGCTTTAAAGCGCCTTCAAAGCGCCGTTGGTGTGAACTTAGTTTAATGGAAAAGCAACCCTTCTTATTTTCATGTATTTTGTCCACAATCGTTACATTTGAGCTTAAATCAATGCTTGTAAAGCTAGCTAAGTTCACATCAACGGCACTTTGGTGGCGCTTTAAAGGGGCGAGCAAAGCGACTTTGCACGCCGCTTTAAGGCGCTATCAAAGCGCCGTTGGTGTGAACTTAGCTTTAGCAATAAAAATCTGTCTGAAATGTTTGAATATAACAGGTTCTAGTACTGGGGTAAATTGTAGGTTGAAAATTCTCACCATGAAACATATTGTACTGCAAATTAATGTTAAAAATTGTTCGTTGAAAATCCATACCATGAAACATTTTGTACTGCAAATTAATGAAATAAACTTTAGGTTGAAAATTCACACAAAAAATGTTCGAACTTTGTAAGTTCCTTTTTCGAAATGATTGGATTTTAAACCGATTTTAGACTACATACATTGTATATCAGCCACAATAGGGTTTTTGTTTTACACTGCATATTTACGCTTTTTTGATCTTATTAGACGGTTTTCAAGACAATATACATCTCATTTTTAAGGAACTTTGAGTTAGATAGATACATCTTGCGTCTTATACATGATTTTACATTAACATGGAATCTTGAATATTATCAGGGAGAATTTGAAGAGGTGTCCGCTAATCGACAGATTAAACCTGCCCTTTGTCACATGTAATAAAGATAACTCATATTAGTCTCACACATAACCCCTCGAAAACATTGCCACTTTGATTATTTGTCAATGTAAATTCAAAGAATGTTGAACAAAAATTGAAGCATTCCTTGGACTGAGTATTAGCAAACTGGTGGCAGTAGCAAGTTTGGAGTTATATAAACACAACGTGTGATGCCAATAAAATCATCTATAGATCTTTTGTTTTGAGAACTGTCTATACAGAAAACAAAACCCAGGAAACAAATAGAAAATATAGAACTTGATCATAACCAACTATTAGTTGGAACAAATCAAGAAATATGTCAAATAAGCATCATGAGGACTATTATAACGACAAATATACAAACAATGGATTCGTAAAGGACCTACCCCCGGCATATAATGCAGTAGAAAATACTAATGTAGCCTCAGAAATCCCTCCCAAAGGTGCAAAAGAGACGGCGACGGAAGATGATTCTATTTCAAACGTCAGTGCTAAAGAAACGTTTTCCTGTGGGTTTGCTACCACATTCAAGGAGCTTTGGGCATATAGAAATACTTTGATCATTATCCTGACCCCACTTGTACTGCTACCCATTCCAATTATCATAAACACTGAAGTGAGTATATTGATTACTTAAGATTCCATTTCCCATCCATACATGTACCAATAAGCCCGGGAACACTTATTAAAAAGTTTGATTCTAGGATACTGTTTTTTATAAATGTTCCCGAGCCTATGTACAGAGTGGGTCATAAAACAATACACACGTTTGAGGATGAATATCGTATGCTATATGTTAAACTATGCCATGTATTATATATCATCTTAAAGATAAATCATTTCCTAACAATACGACACCATTCGATTGAAAGGTATCAACTTTCCTGTGGAGTTAGAGGCTGAAATTGACACCAGTGGTATGCTTATTATCACTATACGTATGTCCAGAGATCATGGTTTTGGATTATGTATAAAAATGGTTTTTGAACGTAAGGGTTTCTTGTTTTGGATGAAAGGGTTTCTTTTTTGGATGTAATGGTTTCTTTTTTATGAACTTTTGTTATCTTACCTATTTCTTCTTCTCATTGTTTCGGTCTTTTCACCTTACTTGCATTATTAAGATATTTATACTTATTTTGACATGACAAAGTGACATTTTAATGTCATTTCCACCCGTCAAATAAGATTTACAATATTCCCACGTTCAGTAGTCTTTATCTAGCAAGTGTCATATAAATAACACATTATCATCCCAGCTTATGGCATATAAACCCATGTATATTATGCCGAAATGTTGTGGTTTGATCATTTGATTGAAACTAAAGAAAACTACTTTGTGATTGATATTGTAGAAATCAGTGGATAATACTTTTGAAACATGAATTTCTATTAAAGTTTTATCGATGTGTTAAGGTTATTTGAATTTGAACAATATTTATGATGACAACAACAAAATAAGTTTCTTAGGATTATCACCAACTTATCTTTGAATAACCAAGATGAATATTGACATTCTCAGACAAGACGGGTGTTCAAGTGGTTTCGAGTGCACTATACTTACATAAGCATTTTTTGATAGAATTTGACCCTATTTTAACCCAATATCATATATTATCATTAACTCTAATTCGGAAGATGTCGTTTTCCTAAAAGACCTATGTGTACACACCTTAGGCGCTTTTGTTCTGATTAGAGAATACGCGAAATACAAGATATAGCTCTTTGAAATCCGCTTTATAGAAGCTTTGAACTGAATTTACACTTTGTAATGCTGAAATTGATAGTTTATACATACATTTTAAGAACATAGGTATGCCAAAGTATTGACCCGATAGCTCAGAATTTTTTTTTCGAATTTTTTCTCTACAGTCCTTGTTGCCCCTTTATTTTTGTTTTTATCTGACTCTGATAACTAATCTTCGTTTTGGCGACGTCATAACATGTGTGTACACTGTGTGTGTATGTGCACAAGAAAAGTCCGTGATTCTCTCCATCTACAGGGTGGGCCAAAAAAACCACCCCCAAGCCAATATTTCTGATAAATATTCAATTTTTAACATGCACACCAACAATGATATATCATTTTAAAGATAATTTAATTTGCAACAAAATGATATATAATAGAACAATTTTCAACAACTCTGGCTTGAGATATAACCATTTATGTGACATTGGGGTCAAAAAACACCTTTTCAATTTTCATCGATTTTGCGAACAATTGCCTATTTCTACCAAATTTTAATAGATTACAACATTGTCATGAGTTTTTCATAATTGGATATTATATATTGTTTTCATTCAGTTTTTGAACCTTGAATGCTCAATATACATGTGTATGCTTATAAAACTAATTCATTTCTTCTTCAGTCTGTCCAAATATGGCTCAATAGACTCACCCCCGGACCTTACTTCTGATTTGATTTCTCGCTTAAAACGCGAAAGCCATTGGTATAATAACCCAGATGCGAGTAGAAATAATCTTGATTTACGTCATTAAAAAATCAAAATTCAGTCAAAGTAATATCATATTTGAAATCTACATGTAAAATTACATCTAGAAATGTGGTTTTAAAAAGTGTTTATCAACTTTGAAAAATTAATTTTCTTTGAAAATGTGACTTCTAGCTCGGGGAGATTGCTATAAAATCACAAAAAATTAAATATTTTTTCTTTTAGTGGACAGATAATATTTTGCTTTGCTGGACATATTTTCATTAGTATAAGTATCAGACACATAAGGGTTATATGAAAATTGAGCCACTTAAATGGATAATATTCAAGTTTAAGGGAACTTTCTTATATACCTGCCATGTTAATTGACCCGAATCAGCCACCTGGTGGTGAAACTGGTAACTACCTACTCGCATTTGGGTAATTGATGGACCTCTGCAGAAGTACCATCCAACACCTAATCATTCATTTTTTTCTGTTTGTCTACACCCCTGATGGTCATCTCCATAGGCCAACTGTTCTAAATGCCCCAAGTACTATACGTAATCAAAAGGCTATGCTCTATATCAGTAAGCAAGAATAGTGACATTTGCGATAAAAGGCTACTCAAATCGAGATGACATTTTTCTGAAAGGTAGGTGGTGTCCACTCGGTGTTTCCCAAAAAGGAAAGACCATACAGGCCCTGTTTTTGAACCAGGACCAAAAATATACGCTGAATGTTAATGACATGAGGAGGTAAAAAAGGACTCCTCAAGAATATGAAAAACATGTGAAAGAAATGTCATTTTCTGATAGAACAGTGCTCCATCACACAGGTCCAATGCTACCCTGGAGTTTTTGGAGATTCGAAATGTCACCATCTCTAGCCCTTACTGGCAGTCCAGTTGCCAATAATGTTGATTACCATACCTGGGGGCATCTAGAACATTTGGTATTTAAATATACCCAGCCTATCAGGGATGTAGAGGAACTAAAAGAAAGAATAACTAGTAGTTAAATGGTACTTCCGCATACATCCATCAATTATGCCATCAACCAATGGTTTCCGTGTCTTAAGCGAATAATCCAATCAGAGGATGGGTCCGGGGGTGGGTCTATTGAGCTATTTTTGGACAGACTGAAGAAGAAAATTAGTTTTATAAGCATACACATGTATATTGAGCATGCAAGGTTCAAAAACTGAATGAAAACAATATATAATATCCAATTATGAAAGACTCATGACAATGTTGTAATTTACTAAAATTTGGTAGAAATAGGCAATTGTTCGCAAAATCGACGAAAATTGAAAAGGTGTTTTTTGACCCCCATGTCACATAAATGGTCATATTTCTATATGGGGTTGTTGAAAATGGTGCTTTTATATATCATTTTGTTGCAAATTAAATTATCTTTAATATGATATATCATTGTTGGTGTGATTGTTAGAAAATAAATATTTATCAGGAATATTGGCTAGGGGGGGGGGTGTTTTTTTTGGCCCACCCTGTATATAAGTTCTAAACTAGAATTTAGAATTATTCACTTATCCACCTGGTTAGGGAACAGTGTACACCTTCCATCACAGATGATATAATTTTCTTCAACCTTTGTTTCTTTAATTAAAACAAATAACCTGCTCTTTTATTTCTTAGTCCATTATTCATCATTCTTGTGTTACAGCCGTCAAGGGCAGGTTACCTGCTACTATGGATGGCTACATGGTGGGTCACAGAATGCGTACCTATAGCTGTGACAAGTCTGCTACCTGTAGTTATTCTACCCTTGATGGGGGTCATGAAACCTGGCCAGATTAGCATCAACTACATGAGGGTAAGTATCAATAGCGTTGTCATACCAACAGGTCAACTCATCTAAAGCATTTAAAAAGCTTCATTCCAAAATGAAAACGTTGCGGTTAAACCTTTTTTGAAAGAAAAATTATTTCAGTTTTAGTGCACTGTTTTCTGAATAATCGTGTTTCAATTTTCTACCAATTTTGATGTAAAATATTGGCTTCTAAAACTTTTTTTCGCTTGTTTTTAATGTTGTTATCTATAGGAAAACAGTGCAAAAATATTTTAATTGTTTATCAATTTCGGCGATACATACGTTCGCATCTTCATCTTCTGCTGAAAGTTATCGAATTGAGCGTTCCGATAATAAAGAATTTTGCCATATCGATTGGATGTGACAATGTTTTCTCACTTTATCACTATTAGGAGACTGCCATGTTGTTTATTGGTGGACTAGTGGTTGCTATAGGAATCGAGAAATGGAATCTCCATAAAAGAATTGCCTTTAGGATATTATTGATAGTAGGATCTAAACCAGTTTGGTGAGTAAATGATTTGATAATGTTAATGTCAGAGGAACGCTGAACCCATTATATGACAAACACTTTAATGACTCCAAGCAATTTGTTTTTTACATACATTTATACATACTGTTTACCTATCATACTTATTTGAATGTTTTTTGTCTTCTATTTTGTTGTTTATTTGTCAAGGTTAATGATGGGTTTCATGTTGGTGACCTGGTTCTTGAGTATGTGGATTAGTAACACTGCAACCACAGCTATGATGCTGCCTGTTGTGTCTGCAGTCCTCGACCAACTTGACCCCACCAAATTAGATGATGAAATGGATACTGAAGACGAACATGAATCACTAGGTAAGAGTAATCAAAACAAGATCAATCCTTCAATGGATATAACGTACATCAATCCATCAAAATCGAGTATTCACAGAGAGCTTACGAGACTCGACCAATGACCTGAAGCATACATGTATGTCAACAGCAAATTTCAGTCAATGCCTGGAATTTAATTCATGATGTAATGTGTGTGTTTCAACTTTGCAAAGAAACCTCTGTACATTCCAAAGAATGTCAGCAGTAATTTCATCCTATCATGATCATAGTACAAAGAAAATGTGACATTTATTGGTATAATTGCATCGTTATAGGTTTCGTCCATATATATGAATACATTTACCAGAATGTAAAATGGATAATGTCCTATGCGTTACGGTTCTTTTCCCACAAGAACTAGAAATGTTATGTTTTTAAACGAAATCGTAACATAGCTAGTCTGATGTATTTTAAATATTTCACACTTCATTTGTATATTTATCAAATACGATTAAAGATACATTTCGTTTTATAGAAAAGAACAATCATGCTAACAACGGCAGTGCTGGGACTGAGATGAAGTAAGGATATACATATGCTATGATCTATGGTCATGTGATTATTTTACCATATTTTAAAGATTATATTTGAACAACATATTTGTTTCTTTATTGTTCAAATGAATAATATGTTGCAGATGTTGAAAACTAATATAATGTTTGCCTTATAGTTTGTAACTAATTAAGAGAAACTTCGATGTTTTATTATTTGTAAGTGAGGGAAATATACTTTTAATTTATTCTCAAAAGGCAAATGCATAACAAAACATATAATTGTGACAACGGTCGATTTAAGTTTTTTAAATGGTTAATATTTCAGGGTTTAACAATTTATATAATATAATAGTTTTGGATGTTTTTCTTCTATGGTTATGAATATGGAGGCTACATTTTCTTGCTTTGCTTTATACTACACTTCCGACTTTTCCTTTTTGACACTTGTACTGGTACTGGTACTTGTACTTATTCAGTTTCGTTAGGACTAGATTCATTCACGTATGGTAACTTTGCAGACAGTTGTCTGCCTCTACAACACATAGTGAGGTCACCCTAGACCACCAGCAAACAGAGGCAGAGAAAGCGGAAAGGGCAGAGCAGGTAAATATGTGTATATTCTTATTCAAGATTTCTTATAGTATAGTCTGTATATTATGACATGAACATTACGGCGGTTGGATTATTTCAAATTCTAAATAAACAATTCTCAATTGGTCGTTTTGCATAATTAAATGTTTTCTAGATTGGAGGTGATGATCAATGCAAGATAGTTTGCATTGTTTGAGAGTAATATATGCTATAGATATTCATATTGGACCATCGTAGAACTGGAAGTATACCATGTAAGATCATACTTGAATTAAAATTGCATTGTATTTATTACAGTGGAAGAAGGAATACCAAAATTTGTGCAAGGGCATGAACATATGCATATGTTATGCTGCAAATATAGGTGGCACTGCAACTCTCACCGGGACAACGCCTAACCTTATTATGCAGGGGTCAATAGGCAAGTAAGTGACTGTAGTTGAACTGAATATCACGTTTTGAAATATCATAATGTATACGTACATATATTTCTATTCAAAAAGTGGCTATTGATCAAAGGGAACAACATGCTTACATGTAATTTCTTTCCGTTTTTGAAAATATGATAACAAAAATGAAGGGCTATTATCCACATGGACTGCTGGACATTTGATTTGTAATAATGCAGTTAATAACAAATTAATATTTCACAGCCTTTATGAAGAACGAGGGTTGAAGTCTCCATTAAGTTTTGCGACATGGATGGGTTTTGGATTACCCGGGGCTGCTATCAGCGTCATTCTATGCTGGCTGTGGCTTCAGATCTACTTCTTTGGCTTCAAAGGGTAAGGCTGTTACATGATCTGATTAAGGTTAAGCAACGCAATTTAATGTAATGTGTGGGGTGTGGAATTATGGTCATTTAGATCCCCCTCGTAGAACAATGAAATGATTTGTAATTTTCACGTTCAACTTCTGCTAAAAATGTGAATATCTACATTTTTTAAGATTGGAAGATCATGGAATCAAAATATTATCATAATATCAACTTGGAAATCTGAAAATGGTCTTAGCATTTGTGACTGTTTTTATTCTCAACTTTGTGTGACTGTTTTTCCACATGCGAATAATTTTTGATGTAGAAAATAAAATATTGAATTATTTACTTTCAGATCAATATTTGGACTTTGCTGTGCCAAAAGAACTGCCCGTGGAGACCGTGAGAGTGAAGCTGTATTAAAAGTTCTGAGAAGAGAATATGAAAAGCTAGGCCCTTGGTCGTAAGGCATTTTTACATTTTTATTGAGTTTTCGAAGAAACAGTAGAGACTTGTCAATGAAAGTAAAATGATAAAATAAAAATACGATATCACCATAAATATGATGTTATTATATTATATAATTATACAAAAACAAAGGGAAAATAACCAGATATAATTATTAAAAAGGCATTCATCAAGTTTCAGAACTATCGAACTCGGCCAACGGTTTGACATCTAATGGAAACTATCGTATGTCAAACTTATGGAGGGAGTGTATATCGTCATTCTTTAAATGTGTATTTCCTTCTCTTTCAGATTTGCCGAGGTGATGATTTTAATTCACTTTGTTGCACTTGCTCTATTATGGCTACTCAGGGACCCACAATTCATTCCTGGATGGGCCTCACTTTTCAAAGAAGGGTAAGTCTAATGGGGGAGGGGGATGTTAGACATTGTTTCTTTTCACGTTAGATCATGGTTTTGGGATATATATGGTCTGCTTTTCTTATGACAGATTTACACTTACAGTTCGCTTTTCTTGTTGGGTTTCTTTAAAGTTTTCAGTCACCCTTCCCTTTGGCATTTGTGCTTATATATTCAGATATTCTTAGTCCGTAAAACTAAAACAGTAACATAAACTGAATTATTCAATAAACCGTTAAGTGCAGGTAACATGGAATTTCTGTCTATGGTTATTCATCTGTTTAATTTAATTAATTTGTATTTTGCAGGTATATTAAAGATTCAACACCGGCCGTTATTATAACGATATTACTGTTTATTGTACCAGCTAAAAAACCAACATTCTTCTGTCTTCGCAAACCAGGTGGTATGTGCATGTTTTCCCTTTTGTGACTATATTTTGTGTAGAATTAATATTCTCCTTCCTAGACTTCACACGTGTATTATACGATGTAGTATTCCGATTATATATTAAGAATCAAAATATGATTCAGTTATATCTTGTATTATCTCTTATTTTGTTATATCTTGTACTTGCTTTTGTATTGTCTTAAGTACGGACGGAAGTACAGAAAATAGTAAACCATTTTGATTATGATGGTATATGCGCATATACCAAAATGCTTGCATGTATTTAATGACCGAGCGCATCGGTGGCTACACAAATCTTAATATTCTGATGCTTTCAAATATTTGCGTGCTTTGTTTTGAATTGGCAGAACGCAGGGGGCCAGTGACTGCATTAATGGACTGGGAAACTGTAGAGGAAAAGTTTCCCTGGGGAGTGTTGCTACTACTTGGAGGGGGCTTTGCATTGGCAGAATCTGCTACGGTATATTAACTGAATAACTGAGCGCCTCATCGCAGCAACGCCACTTGCTATGCTTATTCATGTCCTTTCCTTGTCTTTTCAGTGTTTTCAGCCAGCGTTATTTGTATTTTCATATATTCCTCTTCAATCAAATCGATAGTGTTCGTTATTGATTTTCAGTTAAAATTCTTCTTGGTTAACATATATTATAAACAATGTATATAACAATATATGACATTTTAAAAGCTCGCGGCCTACTGGAAATGAGCACTAAATGACATATGTTGACTATGTCAAAACAATTATTACCATGTTTTGTTCATTCTGATACTCATAGCATCTTCCTGTTTCACCTGACACATGCTCTGATAGTATGAGGAATATTATGTGATCTGAGCACATCAGATGGGAAGATTTATAACTGTCAATAAGCGTGATAGTTATTATGTAATTAATTACCTTAATGTCAATACATTACAAAATAGGCATTGTATTTATCAGCAAATATTAGAACAGGCACAGGTACACAAGGTTTATGACCTCAATTAGATGAAATATGAGCCGGGTTGAAATATCTCAAAAATGCTCAATTTTGGGCTCTCCTGGATCGCCAAATCAAGCTCATTATATAATGGTATCTAAGGACTGAGAAGAAATGAGATCTCATTGTTTATCCATGTTATCATGATGTGTTTTGTTAAACATCAAGAGAGATAATATTGGCCATGGGTTGCAAGGAATATCCCTTTAATCTAATACAATTCATGAATATTCAATGACTAAGTATGTCCATATAGGTATCAGGATTGTCAGCCTGGATCAGTGAGCAGTTAACAGGCTTAAAGAATCTACCTCCCTGGGCCATGGTGATGATAATCTGCTTCGCCGTTGCTATGATCACACAGGTCACTAGCAACACAGCAATAACCACACTCATGATGCCCATATTGAGTGGTCTGGTATGTATATTTTAGGCATACATGTTATGCAAGAAAATAAATTAATTAAAAAATGTTATTAGTTTTGCAATGTGTTCGAGCCCACTTCTTGGGGTTATTAATTACATTTATATAACTTTTTTTATCGATTTAATATCATGAATGTAAATTCATATGAAGGTTTATATGTGGTCGTAAAATGTCAAGGTCATATTGAGTTAAAGTTAAAGCCTAAGTTACCTAAAAGGTCAACCTTACTTTATTTTCACAAATGTTTTTAACAGTTTTGTATATTTATTATTTTCAGTCTATAAATATTGGATTGCACCCCATGATACTTATGCTCAGCGCTACTATAGCAGCGAGTTGTGCTTTTATGTTGCCTGTAGCAACGCCTCCAAATGCAATTGTGTTTGCGTATGGTCACGTCACAGTAGTTGATATGGTGAGTGCATTCAAATGTTTTTTCTATTCGATGCATACTGCGCTATACGTACATGGAATACATTTTAATTGGATATTTTAGTCTAAATTATAAAGTTTATTTTGTTGCGTGTAATCAAAATTTTCAGTTTAAATGTATTAATCAGAAAAACGAAAGTATATTTTACAAGACCATTTTGTATATATTGTGTGTGAACTGTTCACAAACATTCATAGATTGCATCTTTTCGCAGGTGAAAGCAGGGTTTATGATGAACTGTGTATGTGTCCTTGTGATCACACTTGGCATCAATACTTGGGGAAATGCCATGTTTAATCTTAGTGTAATGCCATGGAACACTACGACACCTGTTGCAAATGCCACAATGCTGTATGCTCCTGTGAGCCCCATAGTTGATAACCAACTCTGGAACCAATACATTGAACAGTATTAGATATTAGATTTGTGTATGTTCCTGTTAGACTCATAGTGGATAACCAACTCTGGAACCAATACATTGAACAGTATTAGATATTAGACTTGTGTATGTTCCTGTTAGCCCCATAGTTGATAACCAACTTTGGAACCAATACATTGAACAGTATTAGATATTAGACTTGTGTATGTTCCTGTTAGCCCCATAGTTGATAACCAACTTTGGAACCAATACATTGAACAGTATTAGATATTAGACTTGTGTATGTTCCTGTTAACCCCATAGTTGATAACCAACTTTGGAACCAATACATTGAACAGTATTAGATATTAGACTTGTGTATGTTCCTGTTAGCCCCATAGTTGATAACCAACTTTGGAACCAATACATTGAACAGTATTAGATATTAGATTTGTGTATGTTCCTGTTAGCCCCATAGTTGATAACCAACTTTGGAACCAATACATTGAACAGTATTAGATATTAGACTTGTGTATGTTCCTGTTAGACTTATAGTTGATAATCAACTCTGGAATCAATACATTGAACAGTATTAGATATTAGACTTGTGTATGTTCCTGTTAGACCCATAGTGAATAATCAACTCTGGAATCAATACATTGAACAGTATTAGATATTAGATTTGTGTATGTTCCTGTTAGACCCATCGTGGATAATCACCTTTGGAATCAATACATTAAACAGTATTAGATATTAGACTTGTGTATGTTCCTGTTAGACCCATAGTGAATAATCAACTCTGGAATCAATACATTGAACAGTATTAGATATTAGATTTGTGTATGTTCCTGTTAGACCCATCGTGGATAATCACCTTTGGAATCAATACATTGAACAGTATTAGATATTAGACTTGTGTATGTTCCTGTTAGACCCATAGTGAATAATCAACTCTGAAATCACTACATTGAACAGTATTAGATATTAGATTTGTGTATGTTCCTGTTAGACCCATCGTGGATAATCACCTTTGGAATCAATGCATTGAACAGTATTAGATATTAGACTTGTGTATGTTCCTGTTAGACCCATAGTGAATAATCACCTTTGGAATCAATACATTGAACAGTATTAGATATTAGATTTGTGTATGTTCCTGTTAGACTTATAGTGGATAATCAACTCTGGAATCAATACATTGAACAGTATTAGATATTAGACTTGTGTATGTTCCTGTTAGACCCATCGTGGATAATCACCTTTGGAATCAATACATTGAACAGTATTAGATATTGGACTTTGACTTGCAAATAAAATAGGATAACTATTACGGTAACATAACACGAACTCTTTGAAATGGGAGATACCGATGCATATCCTTAAGTCTGGTATACTGTTATGAATTTTCTTTTTATTAGTAATAAATGTTCATAATAATTAGTAAGTAATTATTGTTGGAATAATGTGTTTACGAAAATCTCCAATGACGAACAGTGTGAAGATGTTATAAGCCTTTGACCACTACTTTCATATGAATATAATTGTGATTAAAACATCCAATTTTCCTCCATTTCTTTTAAAGGTTCATTTTAGATATAATCACAATGTTATTTATAATCACAGTTCTAGACGATTTCTCCATACATTATTCGCCACTGTAAAATAAATACCGGTTAAACGTGTAAATGACATGTTCATTCACATTTTCAGTGCTATTGTATAGAACTGTTTCCAGAACTGATCTTTGACCTCTTTCTCAACGCAACATAAACGTTATTGAATATCCTCTATATCTTTCCCCAACCCCTCAGAAAGGACCTTCAATGCGAAGCCTTGTAAATTTTATTTTAACTGTAATTTTACTTATTTCAAAGGGATAAAACAATGTTTATAATTTACATGTGGTTCTCAATTCTTCAATATCATTCTTGACAACTAGCTTGCAAATATACCTACATAGCAACAAACGCACGATTTATCTAACTATTTCCTATCTTATTTATTTGTAACATACAGATTTAAAACATTTACATCTCAGTAGAAACAACACAAGTACAAAATGTTATGTCTGCATTAAACTCTACCTCTTGACTTCGCCGATGTTTTTGTCAGTTTCTTAAAATCATACTGCTATAAAGTTTCTGGGCATTTTTATTTTTTTCAAAAGCAATTTTTCATTTTGATGTGTCCTAACGAAGTTTGGTTGAGATATAGCTCTTTGCTCGTCCGTCATTTAGTTCTTTCGTTTCATTTCAACTAATTTTTCAACTGATGTTTCGAAACAATTAGTGTTTTTTGATACTGTTTTCATTAAAAGCATATATTTGTGCCAGTGTCAATTAAATTGTTTTGACAAACTGATTATACTGGTAGTTTAACAAACGGGATTGGTTAACCAATACTAGAACCTACAAATAGTACAGTATGTTTTTTTAAAAAAACGCGGAAGAGAAAATGTATTCTACTTAATATTTGTACGTTTTACCTCCTTGCATATTATATCATTATTGCATGTAATACCACTTTCCAAATTTCTTGCATTTGAACCTGTATCAAACATTGGTTTGAAATAATAGTAGATTCGATGTAACGAAATCATTCACAATAATCTGACAATCTGAATATTCTAATAATCTTCTTTTGATGGGAATACGATCATAATACAATATTTACGAATTACTACTAGATTGTATTCATACTATATTACTTCTAAATAATTTTGATGAAGATGATATTCTCGCTCTACATATATAATATGTGAATATAAAATTGTACATAATAAATAAAATAAATACGTACTAATGTTTAATGTATATAACAACTGTCCAAAGAATGAGGCTAAATATTTTACAACACGATATTTTTAATTATGGTTAGATAAACTGTACATATAGGGAAAGTATTTATTGACACAAAACCTCTACATACTCTCAAGGATTACAATCTTACGTAGCATTTGCGAACTGACGGCTGACGGATTGAATAGTGCCTTCCACTTTTCCATTCATATTTATACGAGTTAGCCGTAAAAAGTAGATTACACCGTCAGTCGGCAGTTGAATTCGCAAATGCTTACGTTATTTTTTTAACTTTCTTGAACATAACTACAACTTCATCCTGTTGCACTTTAAATTCTTGATTCAATGGAGACAAAATTGAGTTACATACATTGTTTTTATTCAAATCACTACTGCAATCTAGTGGCCATTTTAAGGATAACTTCAAGCAGATGATCCATTATTCTCCAATTTTTTTTTAAAAAACAAAGAAATACACCCGTGCTTAAGGTAATGATGTGCATTGTTTTAGGTTTGATACGAATCAGTATTCTTCATCTCCAGACCAGACATTTAGTCGGGAGTTGAACAATAACCTAATATTATCAAATGTTTGCATGTCAGTTAGATTTAAATCGCGAATGAATTGTGGGTACTTCCAATTGTCAATCCTCCTTTGTTTAAACCGGGAAACGTTATTGGATATAGCTCATATAATTTCTCTAAAGGTTGACTCCTAGGTTATGGGTTTAAAAAGAGGAGGGAAACTCCCATGATTCAATTGATGACATACGGTTTCCTCCTTCGCGCATCTCTTTTCCCGGAAGTACGTATATTTGTTTACCCTCCATCTTGGTTTTCAAATTTTTCAAATTGACCTAGTTTTAAACCAATCAACGATCGACTCGCTAAACCAATCAGCGACGATGTCATCTCAATACAGATTAACATTATAAGCGTATGTCATCTTTGAACCCTGGGGTTTCTCCCCCTCTTGGGTTTAAATAGATTCCAATTCATTAAAAAAGTTGATACACTTTGACAACAAGTTAACATAAACGATATACCATATTAATTCAAGTATGTATAATTTAGTTATAAGGGTCCATATAATCAGGTCGTTAATAGAATATTCTTTAATTATATAAATATCGTTTTGTTAGGATATTATAAAATGGTCATTTAGCATTTATATAGTACTACATCGTCGCGACATGTTAATATAATACCGTTTATACATGTACATATCAATATAAGATATTATTCGTTTAGAACCATAAAATGTGATACATCAAACTAACAACATACATGTATAGTATATAGTCTGTACAGCTATATAAATCTATATCAATACATAATTTCTCTAGCTATATATACAAGTAAGTATTGCAACTTATTCACTTTTTTGTACAAACGATGGTGATCCTAATTTGTTTGACACAGTTTTAATGAACTCATCCTTTAAACGGTGTCCATCGGGTATTCTCCATTAAAAACGTCCACGCGATGTCGTCTTCTGTGAATATCAAATGGCGTCCATATAAGTCCATCATTATACGGCGTCCATTTAAGTCCATCATTATACAGCGTCCATTGGGTGTCCACCGTTTAGCCTTATATCGTTTGTTTGGGCGTGAACTGTATGCTTCTGGGTCTCACGCCATGGTGTTATGACAAACCTTAGTTTCTGGAAATAAAGGACAACATAAATAAATAATCCAATACGCATGTCACAATAATACTAATAATACATTATGCCGCAAATCTCGCAAAGAAGTCTCCAATTTGACTACCCTATGAACATACCTCCAGTAACGTCCCGGGGGCTCGTATAATTTGTATGAGAGCAACGCCAGGTATACAGACGACCGATGACATAGCGATCAGCCAACCAATCATGTTAGCCCAACCAGGATATACATACTTCTCATACGTCAGTGGTTCGTGAAACACAAGCCCAAACACAATGATGAACTGAAACGTATCATTGCAAATGTAACATAATAAAATATATTTCTATTTTTTATATTTATTGGGTTTCAATTCATGTTTCAGGAATATAAATACATTGTGTCAGTATATAATACAATAGCAGGTGCACATATAAAGAATAAGATGTCGGAAGAGTAAAATTTTATAAAAATCAGAACAAAAATATATCAATACTTTTTGAACAACACTCAAAAACAGACTGAGTACATATTAAACCATTTCCCAAGAAGCCTGTAGGCCTTTGTATTTAATAAAATGTTGAACAATCGTGAATTTCTCTATTGCCCTTTACGTTAACATACCAATAGAAACACTGGAGCTACAAACTTCCAACAGACTCTCCAGTAAATACCAGGTCGGAAGCCTAACATGTCTTCGATATCTTTGCAGAAGCGATCGACACCTGTTAATTATACATGCACATATATTTAAATTTTAATTATTATTTATTTGGATATACACTATATATATACAAATACAATATTACTTGCATAGATTATCAAAATCATATCGATAATTACATATAAGCTAATAAAAAGGAATCATATGCTTATCTATAAATTGAAGCTAATTCGTGTACGTTTGTTTCGCGACAATCAAGTTTTGTCACCACAGCTCTTCCGTTAAAACCAATAAAAGAGTTGTCCTCTGAGAGAACATTTAACTAACAACACCATCGTTTGAACACCTTCGGAAAAAATAAGTGTACTATCTTGAAAATATCTCCCCGGCAAACGGCCCTCATCTCAAAATGTTCCTCATTTATGAAAAACTCGGTGAATATGAATCAATGTACAATTTGATCGAAACTTACCATAGAACCAACTGACGGCAATTGCCTCAAAGAATACGGCAATGAGAATGGAGTAGCCAGCCGCATAACGATCCAGAAGGTTTACGACATACGCTCCACCCTGAATAAAGAAAATATACATTAGACCATTCGCCGATATCACGGATCTATCAAGTGATCTTTTTATCAATGATTTGAAAATTTAACGAAGTTAATCAAGTGTAGAATTTTTGGTGACCCATTGTTATGGGCTCCATTTTTGATGGGGGTTGGCGTCTGGCGTTCGGCGTCTATAACAAATGTAAGTGGTTACATATTACATATCGATGCCTTGTTTAGTGAAGTTATACACTTACATAAGTGACACTAGCGAGTCCAACGAAGAAGTACAAGGAAAATAGGCACGCTACAAAGATCTCCCGCTTCTTCCTCACAATCGGGAACTCGTCACTAATTGCCGTGATGATAGCTTCCGATCCCCCGAACTGAAAATATTTGGGTATGTCAGGGACGCCAATGGAATTGCACATCAAAGCGAACCGCTGCTTTAGTGTTTTAATGCTTAACATTTTGGCTGTCATTTGAATAGTATGTAGTCCTCTCAGAGTTGATACAATGTACCATTTCATAAAATTATTTATTTGAGATTGATGGAAAGCGCAGTTATATTGAATACAAAAACTTACGGAACTATCGAGACCAAGAGTAAGAAGCATCATGAAGAAGATTATTGCCCAGAATGTCGAACCTGGGAGTGTAGATATCGCCTCAGGATACACTATGAACACCAGACCGGGGCCTGGAATTAGAACAGTAGCACATTATAGAACAAATTATATATACTATCATTACCGCGCATGTTTTAGGTTAGACTGAGAAGGAGTGGGGTAAAATTCAAAAGACGAACCTCCTTTTTATTGCTAAAGGAAACAAAATGGTAGTTTTAAATTTATACAACTGCTTCGAAAATGATAATGTTGATTTCTTGCGTATTCACAAATACTTTGCATAGTTATTTCAGCACAATATAAAAACTAATAAAAATGAATATGAATGACCCACGTACCCACGACCAACGTACGTGGATACGAGGTACGAGGTTTTTTATACAAAGCCTTGTTTGTCATAAAAGTATTTCATAATGCTTACCGTCCTTCGCAACTTCTTTGATATCTTTTCCCGAAGTCTCAGCCATGTAACCCAAGACGGAGAATATAACAAACCCAGCAAGGAAGCTTGTACAACAGTTAATACTACTTGTAGCCAAAGCGTCGCTGGAATCGAACGCAGAAGCCAGATCAATAATTGGTAAGAATTGATGCTGATATCGTCTAACCAGCTTACAAAGATGGCAATACCATAGTTCTCCGAGGGTATAATATTTATACCCTCGTATATTTGGCTGGATTACCTAATATTACATAAGGTCGTTGTTTTGGTGACGTTTGGGCCCGTTCACTTAATGTTATCGTTTGCAATTTTTTCAAAGAAAAGCCCTGTTGGCAAAAAATTGCAATGTTAACTGTCCATTTTCGAAAAGTGAAATCCAAATCTAAATTGATTTATCTTAAGATAATCAAAACAAAAGTTGAATAACTTTGAGAAAATCAAGTTGAGACACGAATAATCATCACAAATTGAAAATGCAACCAGAACCTTCGCCACAAAGGCAAACCTTTTACGGTACAAAATTGATGTATTGGCTTGCAAAATATTCATACATTAAGTCACTAACAATTAAGGGGAAATCATAAATATCGAAATTATACAGTCAATTGATTATAATTACCGGTTAATTTACTAGAGAGCTATTGCCTTGCATGAAAATAAATGTGATTTCACTTATTCTGTCTCGTTTTTGGTTTCTTATTTTGTATAAATAATGATAAATATTGCATAAACAAGAAATAAAACCAGTCGTTTGTATTTTCAATCAAATACAAATCAAATCGTTCGAAGGAACCGGGATTAGACATGGTAAGTGTATCAGAAAATGGAAAGTGCTGACTGACTTCCATGGTAGTTAATTGCATTTTGAATAAAACTAATAAAAATGTCAATAGTCTCGAAGCAAAATGGGATTCAAAATATCAATCAAAGAACCGAACTTCGAATATGTTAACAGAATAGAAATGATAAAAGAATCATTATTTTATTATTCTTCATCTGGTCCCATTAAATACTTACAGATAGACGTTGTTGTGGAATTTGTTATAACTCGAGAAAGCTAAGAGCACCCCAAATCCTGGTCCCAATGAGAAGAAAACTTGCGTCGCCGCATCAACCCAAACCTAGAAATAAAATTAAAAATAACCTTTAACAAACAAATCGATCGTTAAATGAATTGTTTCTTCTACGATTTTCCTGAATCTGGTTGATGATTATTTCTACAAAGATTTTTCTGGATTTGAGTGGTAATTGTTTCTTCTAGGGTTTTCCTGAATTTTGTTTTACTCATCTTTCTTTAGTTGACCGAAACATCCAAATAAAATAAAGTTCAGAAGAATGTTACATGAAACACAAAAAAGTCAATGCAGAGCTTTAAGTACCTACCTGTGCATTGGTCAATTTGTCAAAGGTTGGTGTAAGATAGTAGCTAATACCTAAAGATGCTCCCTTTAATGTCACACCACGAACAAGTAGGATAAGTAACACAACATATGGGAATATTGCCGTGAACCACACCACCTATAATCAAAAATTATAGCGCTAGTCATCCCTTTATACATATACTGTACATGTATACCGCCATTTGTACGTCTTTACATCAAAAGAACGTTACTCATAAAAGACAATTGAATACACTCAATACCCCATACCCATGGATTAATTTCTTATTTATTTATATATTTATTTTAGGAGCATTTCAAGAGCAGACGTGAAAATTGAATATTGAATACCGTATACTGTATACCTTGCCTGATGTGGAAATGCCTTTCCACAAGCTGAAGTAACAAATGACATACACTGCTAGGAGACAAAGTGCAAGCTGCCATTTGATTTTCCCCACTTCTCCTATTCCACCAGCCTTGTTTAGCTCCAACATACCGCGTCTGAAATAAATTGTTGACATGGCTTACATAATATCATTGAGTTTTTTAAAAAAGACGAGGTCGGTGCAGTATTTACAGTCGTAAAATATTCAACTGAATCATATCTGAGTTAAAAAGTAAAATCAGTATACAGAATACACAAACTTACTCAAAGAATTCCTGTGCAGCCGAAGTTCCATTATTCACTGCGGAACTAACATTCACTGCGGAGCTATTAATGTTCGCAACACTATCATACATAGTCATATTACTTAAACCATTAATATACAATGTCATGTTAGTACTGTTGTTTGGTACGACTGATTTCATACCATCTACACAATCTGGGGTGTTCCAGTAATTGTTACAAGTGACCCAAGGGAGAGTGGTCGTAAAACTGGCGAAGAAGAAGTAAAGCGCCCATGCAATGATAACATTGTAGAAAAAGTCCACATAGAATGCTATAAGTACCACAGCGTAACCAACTCCTGGAAGAAGATATTGTCAAGTTTCATTAATTTGTTATTGCTTTGTTTAATATTTATTTTATCATTTATTTTACAATCACTATTATAAACTTAATTCTTTGAATGGTGTATTATGTATAAGCATTTTCCCACAGATGAACGTACCTTTGAAAAGCGGGCATATCCTTCCCCAGCATGTGATGGCTCCTTTCCTATGGTATTGCCCCAGTGCAAGTTCCATATAGAACAGGGGGATACCACCCGTTATCAACATAATTACATAAGGGACCAAAAAAGCACCTGGAAGAAAAATATAGGCATACACATGTAAGACATAACAACATGTTCATCAAAAATAGTTTCACTTACTTTTACATATTAATATATCCTATATGTAAGGAACACCTGACTACTCATATAGACTATGACAAAATAGTTTTTAAGACACAAATTACTGACTATATAGAATTAGAAATGCTATTAAAAGGGCCAAACAAACTAGTATATACAGGGTGACAAAAAAAACTGGAACCCACTTAAATCTTAATAACTTCGTCAATTATGCATATTGAGCTTAGTTATTTGGTACATGTATAGTCAATTGAATGTATGACGAGATGTTAAAGTTTTAGGATTCTAGCTCAATTAGTCTCCAAATGAGGCACGATTAGATAATGTGCTCCAAATGTGCACAACGACGTTGGATGCTGAGCTGGATTCTTCTTGCAAAATTGTCAATGACCCGACTGCATTCATCTCTGTCTATCTCTCTAATTAGTCTTCCAATGTTGGGTTTGAGGTCATCAATGGTCAGTGGACTATCTGTATACACATTATCCTTGAGATACCCCCACAGATAAAAATCTGGGGGGTTCAAATCAGGGTAGTGGGGGGGGCAGATGTGGCAGGTATGGTGACTGATTAATCGATCATCAAAGTGAGCCTGAAGCCATCGAATGGACTCATTTGAGGTGTGGGGTGTAGCACCATCTTGTTGGAACCATTGCTGTTCCCTTCTCAAGTCACGTCATCTACCCAGTGCTCTCCAAAACTTTTGAACGTTAGGGATGTAACGTTCTGAGTTGACTGTTGAGTTGTCTTGAGTTCTGACAGACCTCTCTCTCCCCGAATATGTTGGTTTTCCATCACTTTTCTTTTTTGTTGGTTTTACAGTTCTTTCTGAATCAAACTTCTGTACAAGCCTAAAGATCTGTGACTTGCAAGGGGCTCTTCTTGCCCTGTGATCCCTCATATAGGCAGTTTGTGTCCCTTTATAGGATTTTGTCTCAGTATACTTTCTCACAATATAAGTCTTTTCTTCTGTCGTCTATGGCATGATTAATATCTAAGCTACAGAACTCATTATTGTGTGATTTTGTCATGCATTCAGTCTAGTTTCTACCCTGAAGAAATGAAGAATGTAGGTATAATACTTTCCGAGAAATTTGATGATTTATGGGTTCCAGTTTTTTTTTGTCACCCTGTATATATCAATACATCTTCCATTCAGTCCCAATTTAAATTCAGTTTCAAACCGTTCAAAAATGCTACTTCGTGATACCCCTAGTGCTTAACAATATATTATATGAGCCTGTAGATTCCACTGGTTTTTAATGTACGGCTTCAGAAATAACAAAATAAAAACTAAAAACACATCAAAACCATGAAACATACACAAATTCAAAAAATTATTGTTTTTGGTTTGCGCGAAATATGGGCCCACCCTGTTAGGAACACTTGTCTACAAGGAACAGTTAGGGCGAGTGCAGAGATTCTACACTGGTTCTACTTAACTTTACATTTAAATACTAAATATCATTTGTTTGTACTTTTATAAACGAAGCACACAGAAGTCGCAATAATATAAATCAATCATCAATAAACAAGACTATTAACACAAAGGTTTTTATGAACATGGAGATCGTAATTTCTTAACACATAACAGTAAGCGTAAATCTAATAGTTACAGTGCAGGAATGCACACTGTACATGTCCTAAAATAGTTCTTGTATACAATACACTGACAAGACCAAAGACATTATTGGCCTTGTCAAAGACAGTGATTTGAATTGACCTATGGTTGTCACAATATATAAATGCAGCAATGAATGCCACATCAAGTAATCCTACATTGATTTCATACGTGATTTACACAAACAGGGCAGTTAATCAGTAGCGAATTACAATGCATATGTATATTTGCCAATTTAGTTATCAATAAATAGTCAAGCCTAATAGGGAGTAGTTAAGAATATAATATGGCAAGTCCAAATTACAATGTATTGACATTAGTTGCATGAGCACATGGTTTACCGTCAAGGTGTTATTTTAAAGAGTAAGGATCAATTAATTCTCTATTGAGGTCGTGCTAAAATATCGATTTACACAGACTCACTTTAAATTTATTTCCTCTTTGCCAAATAACCTATACTTGATCATCGATGTTGGATAATGCATGCAATATTATTAGCTATTTATTGGATATTATAGAAAATCTTAATATATAATATGTTCATGTGGAAGTTAGAATTTATATTAATTTCATTTATTTAAGCGAATCCTATAGCTAGCTTTAAAAAGTTGTTTTCTGATATGGAAATTTGAACTTGGCTAAATATAAGCCATCCAAAATAGCAATTTTATTATTCATACCATATTATACCACAACCATGAGGTAATATGTAAAACGCCTCGGGAAATTCAGTTGCAATGCAATTAATGGGCAATTCCAAATTACAACAGTTTCAATTGTATTCATGACATCTACCCCGATCATATAAACCGTAAGAGTAGTTCCCATGTCTTATAATTTCAAAATCTATGAAGGTAATATCGGAATTTGCATCCAGGCTGCTGATTTTTACATACACATACACTCGTACCCCTTAGTTCCAGTCATGAAGCGGAAATTAATGCGCCTAACAATCTATTGAAATTTTAATACCTTTTCAAACGTCAGATTGAGCATATACGAATGGCCTATTGGTTTTTGATCATGGCCGAGCTTAATACTTTTTTGAGTTTTTCCAATGGTATTGTCTAGACTACAATCTTTTGTGGGGCCGGCCACCTTCTTTCAGACCTTGGTAAATATTCTAAACGTTTAATTTAGTGGAAAGCAGCTCATAAACCTATTGAAGATATGCCAGTTACTAATGTAAAAATGGAATATAATTTTTTTATCCCACACTTAGTATATGTAGCCACAAAAAACAAAGTATTTAGAATACACTGAGAAAAAGAAGTATAAGTAGAGAACAACTGGTAGAAAGTTGATCTCGACATCCCCTAAATTGAATCAACATCCACATAAACACGTTAATAAATCGGGGAACGTTAACATTATCAAACTTATAAAGGGTATGGAGTATATTATAAAGTCAAACACAGTGCAAAACCTCAAAACGTTCTTTTGACTTATTTTGCATTCGAGTACAATCAGAATTTGTAGATATTATGTATCACTACTTTTCAGTAATTGGGTTACTTCAATGGAAAGATTATATGATATGAAAAGGAAAGTTGCCTAAATATTTATGTAATTCTGCGATTGAGATTGCTGGGCGATGCTATCATTTGGTTTGGGCAAGATATAATGGAAGCATGGACTTTTCTTCAAGTCAAAATTGGAGGCAACGTTTTCGCGTCGCAACGAAATTTTGCCAATGTTGAATTGAGTCCGAAACAATACATCGTATACTATACAATTCCATACCTCCGCCATTTTTGTAGCACAGATAAGGAAATCGCCATACATTGGCTAAATCGACAGCGAACCCGATTACAGATAAGAGAAAGTCGACCTTCTTTCCCCAGGTTTCTCTTTCGTCGCCAGATGGCGCTGCTTCGATGTCATTCTCTTCCGCTTCCGGTGGAGTGTCTGCATAGTGTTGATGGTGAGGAACGAGCTTATCTGAAAAAATAAAAGTTCAATTCTGAAAATAACGTACTTAACATTGTGGTAGTGCGCCATTATAGAATCGAAATCTACCCGAGAATTAACAAGTGTAGCTAATAAACTATCCAGGTGATCGTGATTGCCTAAAAATAACAATTTGAATAATATTTACTTAAACTGGCAACCTAGTCAATCTCAAAAGTATGATGATACTACCATGTACTAGTAATTCTCTGTAGTTCCCTAATTTAGCTAGCTAATTTAGTAACACATCATGATCATGCGCACTCATTTTCAAAAGTATTCAAACTGTGTCCACTAAATGCTTCAAGTTCAGACTAAAAAGCTACAATTAAAATAGTTATAACTTAAGAAATAGGTAATATGTTTAACTAAAGTTGAGCCAGATTTAAAAGTGGTATAGGGAGTCTGATCAAATGCATCCAAATAATACTAGTAATACTTCTCTAACACATACCAATACCAATGGCGACCAATCACGAAAACAAGTCCAGGCATCGACTTATTCATATTAATCATAGTGCAATTCTGAAGGAAATATGCACTAGGGATCATAGTAACAATTTATTTCTTTGTATCGTATACCTCTAAACAGCGAATTGATCTAAGTACGAGTAAAAGACCTATTTCGATAAGAACAAAACCATGTTAACTTCGCTCAATTTCCGAGTAGCCGCGAACCGGGAGAGGTTCTATTTCAATCGTAGAAATTCTAAGGCAAAGAAATGGGAGCTCATAGATATAGAAGCTATTGGCATTAATCACCATTGATTAATACTGATATGCATTTCTCAATATCTCAAAATTGACATATGGAATATTCTACGCTAGAGTAGAAATCAAACTTCATATTCAAATCCTGTTATTTTTGTTTCTGTTTTTTTTAATGTTGGTGGTGTAGCAGCACTCTCTCGCCATGGCAACGTTATGTAATATTGTTGCTAATACGTGGTATGTTTATTTTGTTATGCGCTTTTATTTTGCGCTTTTACACGCCTAACCATCGACAACGTCGGTGACAAGATATACCGTCGTACACTTTAGGTGTACGGTGTCACTATTAACTGACTTGAAAGCGAAAACTATGATTTAGGTTTGATTGTGGTTTTCAAAAATTAATTTGAGGAGTACATCAAAGATGTTTGATACATGTTTGATTTTGTGTGTATTCAATTTGGCAGACATTTACCTTTCTAATTAAGTTTAGTTAGTTGATTAGTCCGTGGCAATGCTAGGCGGATGGCAAAAAAACAATCTTATTGGCCTTTATTCAAAATAAAAAATGAGGTTAGAGAACTGTTTAATTGTTCCTCTCCGGAGATACAGGAGGTCATATTTACAAATGTATAAAAAAAAAAGTTTGGAAATGCACACAGTTGTCCAGGAATACATTTAACATCCATTTTCACTCCGCAATACTGGGTCATTGGGCAATATTATGGTATGGTTTTTGAAACCATGAAAATGATTTATATTTTCCCGACAAAGCACATGTTATAGTTTGAAAAAAAATGTGAGAACATTTAGAAACTAATAGGGGTATATAAGTGTGTTTGGTAGAACGCTAGTCGACTTGAATTATGTGAGGCGGGAAAGTTGAAAATGTCGATCGATTTCAAAGCATGTGGGAAAAATTTCTTTTGAGTCAGTCCGTATACGTTAGGAGAGCGACTTGGTCGGCCCAAGATCGTACATATTCAAAAATTTCGGGACTAGACTGATTTTACATTCAAAGTGAGCATGCTAGTTCACTAATCAGTAAAGTCGTTCGTAACTGCAAATCCTATCTGTGATAAAATAAATAAATTGAAAAAATAAACCGACTTACCAGGTAAGGTTTGCCTTTATTGTTTTAGAAATATGAACCGTCGTCGAGAAAAAGTTTCATGATTTAATCATTGTAGCCCAAGGCAATATTCGAAAAGGGAACGCGAAATGGAAAGTAACGTAAAATAACGAAAACAGCGATACCTCTCATATTTATTATGATTATGCATTTTTATTCAGACAATACAGACAGAGATATCTTGATTATGTATTTGGATTATGGATTGTGATTCAACGATGTATTGAATTATGTGCTTATTGTTGAGTCTTCCGTACAAAAATATTTCTATTTTCCCTTTGTGTAGTTTACACTAAAATGTATCAATTTTTCAATCTATAATTACAGCAACATTGCTTTACAGAAAATCAAAGAATATTAGTTTCACAACTTTATAATTTTCTTAATTCTCAGAAACATTTTACATTTAAGAAAATGAAAGAAATGGCACTTTAGTGGCCATAAAATTAGATAAGACATCGATAAATATTTTCAATTCGATTCCCTATATAAACTAACTTGAATTTTTCACTATGTGTTTCATGGAAGGTTAGTTAGATAATTTTCTTTTTTGGAAAATAAAAACAACAACAAATCAAATCTTAGTAAAACACGATATCAGAAAAATTCTTGTGTTATAATTTGTATCTACCCGTATATATATCAGCTATCAACACTCATTCGCTTTTTTTCAATTGTGTTGTTATTTGATATCAACATACACTCAAAGTGATTTTTCATTCAATGCAGATAAGTATCGTATTAAATCTGACGACAACACTTATGCAATTATAAAGTCTTGCTTCAAGACCCTCGACCCCCTCCCTCTACTATCTACTTTACACCAGGCTGTGTTGTGTTGGAGAAGTAGATAAGGGGGGGGACCACAGTCTCGAAGCAAGACTACTATACGGTTCTCAATTGGGGATACTTTAAAAATCGTGAATAGTTCAAAAGAACATTAATTAAGGAATGCAAACTATAAGTAAAAATATCTTAAAATGTAAGACAAAGATGGATACTTTCTTGAATTTAACCAATTATCAATTTCGCAAATTATCCAAATTAAAAATATCATACCTTTGGTTAGTTTTAAAATATGCCATCAAATCAGACAAAAAAAAGCGGGAAGACTATTTTTTGCGTGGAAACTTGCTTGTTTAATTGAGGCTGTTGGGATATGCTAGTAAAAAACATGTTTACCGTTAACTGCCTCCTCTTGTAACTTTTCCCCATTTTTCTCATCACCTTCGCATTCAGTTGGCTTTCCCATTTTGTCGTTTATGGTATCGCTATTCCTTATTAACGGTGATTATTATCCAAATATGCATATGTTTTAACAGCAGTTCTAATTCAATGCAATAATTAGCCGCACGTTGCACGAACGCTCTACCAAGTCATCGCCGAATATCATAGGTTCCGTTTCGCAAATTGTTCCATTAGAATTTAAAATTGTTAGTGCAGGGCATAAAAAGTAACTCCAAGATTTGTACAATAGGCATATCATATATTAATAGCCCTTATTTCTGTAACATTGTTTTGAATTTAAATACGATCAGTCAAACAATGAATATCTTAAGTTCAACATTCGCAATGAAATGTGTGTCTTCCAAATGCTCTGTAATGACGTACAATCGTGGACCCTGGGAGCGCGACTCTCGGAAAGTCAAATGTATAAAGCGCTACCCGTAATCGATACCTTCTTTGATTGGGTCTTTCAACCTTAGCTATTGGGTAAAAATATTAGCCTAAATTAGTAATATTACCATTAAAACAATGCGTTTAATCATTGCTTAATAGAAATCTTAAATGGCATCCATCAACGTGGAGTAATGGGTGAATATATATACATAATACAAAGTGGTAGTGATTGGTTTCGAGGACTTTTGTCTACAAAGTGCACAAAGCTCCATTTACATACGTTCGTATTTTTAGTGTAATGCTAGAAAGAAACCCCCATTTGCATACCTTAGCATGTTCAGTATAATGCTAGATAGACATTATTAAGTCTGGACGCCTTAGTTCTCTTTTTATTTTATAATGGCTGATTTGCGTAAATAGATTTTGTCTTGGAGGTTACATACCTTTCGCTCAAGAATCAATTTCTCTGATTGAGCCAAATATAGTCCTGTAAAAAGAAAACGCCATGTGGTCACGTCCCGGGCATATTTGTTTAGATCCGGTCAGTTTAATCTCGTTTGAGGCAGTAAAATCAATTAATGGTCAATTTAAAGTACGATTAGAGTTGGTGAAATCGTGTTCTTTCTCAAAATATATAAGCATAACAAGAGAAGTAACATCTTAAAGCACGGCCTGAAATAAATAAAACAACCCCTAAAGTTCCAAAAAATGATATAAAAGTGACTATTAATAACGATATTTTAAACTCATAACATGTGGACAATTTAACATATTTATTTTATCTATCTATCTGTATTGTATTTTATGTATATGTATTTGTTTTATGTACTGCCGCACTGGAATTTTCCATTGTGGCACTGATTAAAAAGTGTTGGGCAAATAAATAAATAAATAAAATAACCAGCACAATTAAACGTAGCCAGAAACCCGCTAAACATTGAAGAATCAATAACACAATCCACAAAAGACCACAATTGGTAAGGTCATCAACCTTTTACCGTTTTATTTTTTTATTTGAATATTTTGTGTTTTCTTAACAAATAATGTCATGGTAACATTTTCTTTAAAGGCCTGGTGTAATGTTTCATAAAGTATTTTATCAAATAATATTTCTCGTAATTTAAACGTTTTACAATATTTTTAGAACCAAAAAAGTCTAAATATTTATTTATTTAAAAAAAGATAATTGTTGACCTTTGATTTTATTTATAGCATGTGTATTTTCGAGATGTCACAAACGTAAATAAATTTATATTGAACGGAACGATGTCCGTGTGAATTTCAGTCATCGATGAAAATAACCGGCAAACTGAAGAGAGAGGCTTATATTTTACTCTATATTGAGCAAAATTAAGGTGGAGCCATAGTACCGGGCCATAGTGGTCATTATCCGCCCTGGTCCAGGGGAATAAGTTTGTTCTTAGTTTTCGATCCTTTGGCCAAGATTTCACCATGTTGCCCTTTGAAATGAAGTGCATTGCTATTTTGATTAAAAGCCAAACTAGCAAGCGATATGATTGCGACTAACACTTAGACATGCAGTACATTACGAATATTAATTCTAGACATGGGTCAATATAAAAATCTGTGGAACTGAAAGAACAATTCCATAGTTTCAATACCTTGACTATCGGTAGGAAAACTTGGATTGAAACTAACACGAATATATCATTCATATGTTAATCCCAAGATTTGATGGCTTATTCTCGGTCAAACTCTTACAGTGTAGGTTTGGTTCACCAGTTTTATTATACTATAGCTGATTCTACATCAAATACCAATTAGGTTATAAGTAGGGGGCGTGTCAAGTACTTAAAGGGCCACGTCCTTTAATTTAAGGTAAATCAATCGAAATGATCGTCACTTTATTACCAATCAGAGTGCATTTGCCATTTAACACCAAACAACACATCTTGGTTTGGGGAATACTGAACTGATACAAATGAAGTAATCCGAACGCTACTGGGACAAACCAAAAGTGTGGATGGATTAGTAGGTTTTCACATTCAAATGTTTCAGTTAAATGAATCGCTTGAGATAACAAATATAAAACCGACAAAAGTGTGCATTGCACATTGAATGAGAGGTGTTTGGATATGAGAGGTGTTCGGATATGAGAGGTGTTCGGATAAGAGAGGTGTTTGGATATGACAGGTCTTCGGATATGAGAGGTGTTCGGATAATGAGAGGTGTTCGGATATGAGAGGTGTTCGGATAATGAGAGGTGTTCAGATATACAGGTTTCCATGTATGGCAATTTTTGGTGAGAATTCTATGCATTCTGTAGATGAGATGGTCCCCAGCATATTACAAGAAATTGTGCTATTTAGTCTCGCAGTTGTTTAAAATATTGTATCAAAATACGCATAATAATTACGATCGATCCTTTGAAAAGGTATACCCTTGCAATACGCTATATGCTATAATTTCAGATATACGCTCGTAGTCAAAAGTCAAAAAGTTTTGCTTCTAAATGCATGTATATAGTACACTATGTATTTGCTTTGGCGTCGTAAATTGACCAAGAGAATGATATTTGGATAGAATAATTACTTAATACCTAAAAGCAGCATACCAAAAGGTCGAAAGGTAATCAATACAGTTCATGAAATAAAGGGTCAATGATATTCTTTTGCCTTTTTATGAAGGCAAGTTATATCCACAAATGCTTCAGCCACATTTGATCTACGGTAACCGTATGGCGGCCGTAGCTTTCCATAATCGAGAGAAATATGCAGCATAAAATATATGTAGCGATAAGCAGACTACGATATAGATTTTCCATATCGAATTTGTGAACCTATGGCTGCCATACGGTCGCCGTGAAGTAAATTTGACCGAGGCTCAATCCGGTGAATCAACAGAAAATTCTTAATTTTAGTTGAGAATTTATTTTGAGGTGATAAACCTCAAACATTGTCTTTTGTGCTCCACTACCAAGGAGGGTTGGCTCTCAAGAGTGCAACATCGATGATATCGATGATATGCTGTCCCATATACATCCTGTCCCATATACACTCATACACACATGGTTGCCAAACTTATGAAGGGGAGTGTATGTGCATGTCGTGATAAAAATTTGAATTGAAACAGCCGCCATTTTGTTCACTTCAACATTTGAATTGTGAATTGTGGTCTTATTTCCCACAGATATTGGCCAGATCGTTTTGTAGTAGGATCATAGGCTCAAAGAATAATACAGAAGATACGACACTAAAATGAAATATTATTGAGCTACTGATTCTACTACAAAAGAATCTGGCCGGGATCTATGTTATTTCCTAACGAAAAATTCCAAAGCTCACAAGAAATGATCGAGATATTGGTTCGAATTTTTTGAACTGATTAATCTGAATATATATTCGGTTATGATTTCCGAAAATAACGACATTTCGATGTTTTTATTGTAGGAAAATATTGAGTTTCGATCCTGACATAACGCCACAAAGAAGCGGGAATTCCCTCTTACCTCATATATTTTTTTGAAAAATTGCAAAATAAATATTCACGAGGTCCTCGAGTCCACGAGGAAAGTCAAAATGTTGCTGCATCTCAATCAAAGTGAGGTAGTAAAGTGATGAAGCAGAAGCATCACAAGTCTGAATACAATACAATATAATATAATTTTTTTATTTTATGCGTCAGTATGACATTTCATGTTATCTTAGACCATGCATGCGTCATCACTTTAAAGGCTGCAAGACAGCTACAGGTTTTCCATATCCACAAATTCAAAGTAAGCCGTTCTGTTAAAGCGTTAAGTTCCATGCGATTGCTACTGTAACAATTCTAGATCTGGAAAATGGTACGGCAGCCTTATAAAGAGACTAAAGCGTATGATTACGTCATAATTTATTGCACAGGTCCATACGTTTGGTATATTCCTACGTATGGACCAGAAGTAAGTAGCTCCCATAATTCTTTCATATTCTATCGTATTCGGGGATTCCCGTTACGTCATCTCCCGCATCATCTCCAATCAAATTTCAGGATGCAATCACGTCAACAAAAATGAGCACGTGCTCTCTCAGAGCTGCGCATGCGCAAAGTAAAATTTGAAATCGTGGAAATGGCGTTAACATCTGTTCAATATCATTGTTTTAAACCTACGGTAATACTATTAAAGTTACTCATCCAAACTTGTAGAGGATACTCATAAAACTACAGCGAACATTAGGAGATTCAGTTCAATGGCAAATGAGGCCTGTTTATAAAATTTGTTTTCGAACGTGCCAATATGAAAGGTCATATTTGGGAAATCTCCCCCCCTCCCCCGGTATAGACGACGATTTAAAAGAATATCACACTTGTGGAGGTATAGAACAATACAATACAATACAATACAATACAATACTATAAGCATGCTAGTGATTTCGAAATCTCTATAATATCATAACCACTTACCAGCATCTTATACAACACTTAGATATTTTTAATTTATATCATGTAGCAATACAGGGAATACAGAAAATTTCTTAGGGTTTATCTCCTAAGTTAAATATTTTTGCGTAAGATCACACGATAAAAAAAGTTATTGAATCTCGTTCCAATACAGAATTTCTCGAGCAGAATATATCCTGTATTGCACTTCAAATCATTCAATAACTTATATTATCTTATGATCTGTAGAATGAAGCCTTCTGATTGGTCAGTTCTTGTGCTGTACCAATCTGTATTGCTAGTGAGATTGGCCCCATTGATCATCTCAGTTGCAATACAGAAAATGTTGGTTCCAAGGGGACATTCTCACTAGCAATACAGAGGATCACACGATAAAAACGTTCACTCGACTTCGTCTCGTCCCAATACGGAAT